TTATTTCTTTTTTTTTTTAAGATTTATTTTTTATTATTTTTTATTGGAAAGGCGGATATACAGAGAGGAGAGACAGAGAGGAAGGTCTTCCGTCCGATGATTCACTCCCCAAGTGAGCGCAATGGCCGATGCTATGCTGATCCGAAGCCAGGAGCCTCTTCCGGGTCTCCCACGCGGGTGCAGGGTCCCAAAGCTTTGGGCCGTCCTCGACTGCTTTCCCAGGCCACAGGCAGGGAGCTGGATGGGAAGCGGGGCTGCCGGGATAGAACCGGTGCCCATATGGGATCCCGGGAGTGCAAGGCGAGGACCTTAACCACTGTGCCACCGCGCCGGGCCCCTGCTAGTTTATTTCTGAGGTGCCTGTAATAGTGGGATCCTGGACCAAAGCTCAAGTTGGGAGCCAGTATCTAAATCCAGGTCTCCTATGTGAACAACCAGGACCCCATTATTTGAGCCATCATTGATGCTCCCCAGGGTCTACATTAGCAGAGAACTGTAGTTGGGAACCAGAACTGTGAACTGAAGCCATGTATGGGATGTGGGACACGGGAGTCGTAACTACTCCTTATTCCTAACCAACATGTGGCCCTGGAACACAGTGATGGGGTCTGGTGTGATATTTCCATGTGGAATGGTCAGGTCAGGGAACTCTCTCACCACAGACATTTCTCTGTGTTGGGAATACTCAAAATCTACCCACTAGCAATTTTGATAAAGCTCAGATTGTTGTCAGTTGTGGTTACCCTGTTTTGTTATGGAACATTCGCAGTTATTCCTCTTGTGTGGCTACCCCTTGCCTGCTGAGGGCATTTTTAAGGCATTACAGCCTTGAGATCTTTTCCTAGCTCATTTATGCTTACTTGCTAATTCGCCAAAGCAAAAGTACGTTTTTTAAACAACAACCCACAGCAATCAGCAAATGGGGCCACTTTAATTTAGATAACTTTATGTGACCAGGTAGAAACACGGGAGGGGAAGAGACCAGCATTCTGTCTACTCATTACAATTCCAAGTGGCCCAGGGTACAATCAGAAAGGAGAGCCCATTTACCTCTGGCAAGGATCTTGTAGCTAGCAGAGGCTCCTTCTGCTTGGGCTGCCGTGGAGGGCGGGATGGAGCTGGCCCTTTGCCTGAAAGGTGACGTCTCTCCTGAGCTACAGCTGCTGGGAAACACAATCTTCCAGAGTCAAGACTTCCTGATTTATTCTGTAGTGCCTCCCACCCCCGCTCCTATTTTATTAGTGAGCAAGAGAGAGAGAAAAAGAGAGAGAGATTTTCCAGATGGCTGGTTCACTCCCCAATTGTCTGCAATACTTAGAGCTGGGTCAGGTGAAGCCAGGAGCCAGGAACTTCATCCAGGTCTCCCATAAGGGTGGCAGGGGTCCAGGTACTTGAACCCTTATCTGCTGCCTCCCAGGGTGCACAGAAATGGGAAGCTGGATTCACAAGGGGAGTGAAGTACTCCTGTATGGGATGTGAACATCCCAGTTGCACTAAGTGCCTGCTCCATGACTTCCTGTTTTGAAGATGAGGACTCTAGGAAGTAGTGTTGAAGAAGTGCAGTGTTTCATTCCAGGTCACTCTCACCTGTCATGGCCGTGCCAGAGGCCAAAACCCAGGTTCTTTGAACACCAGTCCTGGTGTGACTCTGAGTCCTCGTCCTTCTCTCTCTCCACCTCTCGATTCTGTCTCGGCTCCTTTGCCAGATGATGACACTAGGTACCCTTGGGTGGGACACTCTGCAGGGGAGGTCTGGGAGGATGGTAGCTAGTGCACCAGGAATGCAAAAGGACCATTTTTTAAAAAAGGTTTATTTGTTTTACTTGAAAGTCAGAGTTAAATACACACACTGAGAGACAGAGAGAGAGAGACAGAGAGAGAAATCTTCCATCTGTTGAGTCACTCCCAAAATGATCTCAAAGTCCAGAACTGGGTCAGTCTGAAGCGGGGAGCCAGAAGCTTCTTCCATGTCTCCCACATGGTTGCAGGAGCCCAAGGCTTTGGGTCATCCTCTACTGCTTTCCTAGGACATAAACAGGGAGCTGAATTGGAAGTGCAGTGGCTAGAACTCACACCAGTGCACATATAGGACGCAAGTGCTGCAGAAGAAGGATGAGTGTGCTTCACCACTGCACGACTCACAAGATGTATCTTGGGGAAGGGGTTGGCTTACTCTCCAGGGCTCACAATATCATAACAACATGGAGTTAATTGTAGACAAGCTGTCTCCCAAGTGATAGCAATAAGGAATTGGAGATTCTGTTATGTAGGGGGTCTTAGTTACTTAATGTTGTTATAAAAAAGAACATCTGACTCTGGGTAATTTATAAAGACCAGAGATTTATTTCTGGCAGTTCTAATACCTGGGCCATTCAAGAGTATGGTGCTAGCCTCTCTTAGGATGGAACTTCTGGTTGTGCCAACGGAGTGGAGGGGATGTCTCTTGATCCCTTGGTAAGACAGAGCAAGCATGCTAATTGGGACTCTGCCTCCTCTGTTAAAGTTGCTAATCTAACCCTGTTCACCTCCCAGATGTCCCACCTCAAAATACCACCAACATATGAATATGAGCTTAAACTTTCCAACATGTGCACTCTTGGGGGATATGTTCAAGCCACAGCAGGGATATAGATGGGTATGTGGGGAATCTGAGCTATTGGAGACCCCGAGGAGCTGCCATGGGGGAAGGACAGCGTGTGCTGATTCCTGCTTATGGGTCCTTTCCCCAGGGCTTTGCGTAGATGCCCTTGGTCTCCTCTGAAATGTATTAAGTTTATGCAATAAAACAGTTTGTACATTACCTCTAGGGGAATCCTACTTTCTTCTGCACTTAGAGACTTGGAAATGTAAGGCACTCTGAGATCATTCCTTAGTACCACTCTTCCTGGAGTGTTGGAGAGAGGACAGGAAAATTTATTTTGGGTGGCCTCCCAGTGCCCTCTGCTGGTGTGTAGCCACAACTGCACCATCCATCCAGGGAGAATGTTCTCTTTAGGAAGAAAATGGAGGAGGAGGGTTTACTAAGAGCGCAACTAGTGAACTCAGGGAGTTAAAGGAAGCGATTCTCTTAAAGATTACATGAGATAATTTAGATAAAACCACTTAATTCCAAGCCCACCCCAAGGGGTGCTTGGTGAGGCTTGGGCTTTGTTTTAAGCCACGAATTCGCTCTGGGCTGGGAAGATAACCTTGTGGGCTTGCTGAAAGTTTCTATCCTGGGATAGAGGTTGACACAACTGTCTGGCACTCAGACTGGCTTTTGAGGACAGATCTGTGTACTTTGGGGTGTAAACAACAGATCATAGACGTTGGAACAAGAGTCAGCATGTGAGTTGGGAGGAATCTTTTTTAAAAATACATTTTTATTTTGAATTATGAATTATGTGGTACAATTTTGTACAGGCTGGGATCCCCCCTAAACTCCCAACCCCTGACAGATTTTCTCCATTTTACTACAATAGTGTAGTCCTTCATAAGGAATCATAATTCTATCAGTCTCTTAAGTGTACCCCGAAATTGTTGGTACAGACAATGTCAGACAGTCCAGCATCCCATTGTTTACACATGTCCAACAGTTTCATTGGGAATCCATCTTTCATCTGGAAGCAGGGATGCATGTTCCATTATACTCCCACATCTGGCTATGGTAGACCCCAGTACTCCATCACTATACACTTCCATAATTGAGAAGCCATGAAACAAGATCAACAACTGATGTGAGTTAGAACAGCCACAACAACAACATCAACAACACATTACAGTACCATGAAAAAACGCGCCACTGAGTAACCAACAAATGGATGACAAAAAGGAAACACAAAAGTCTCTTGGGAAAAATGATGCCACCGTATAATCCATGAGCCAGTGATGAATTCGACAAGAGAAAACAAATTACTTGGAATAAACAAAGCTGAAATAAAAAACATCGAAACACATGGGATACAGCCAAACAAGCAAACAAATAAACAAAAAAACAGTATTGATTAGATTATTGAAGTTACACTTTCCATGCTGCCTTCCTTATATAAGAGAGAACATATGGTATTTGTTCTTTTGTGATTGACTCATTTCATTGAGCATAATGGTCTCTAGTTGGGATCACCTAGTTGTAAATAGTATAATTTTATTCTTCTTAATAACTGAATAATATTCCATGGAGTAGATGTACCACAGTTTCTTTTTTTTTTTTAAGATTTATTTTTATTATGTTTTTATTGGAAAGGCGGATATACAGAGAGGAGAGACAGAGAGGAAGATCTTCCGTCCTATGATTCACTCCCCAAGTGAGCGCAACGGCCGATGCTATGCCGATCCGAAGCCAGGAGCCCCTTCTGTGTCTCCCACGCGGGTGCAGGGTCCCAAAGCCTTGGGCCGTCCTTGACTACTTTCCTGGGCCACAGGCAGGGAGCTGGATGGGAAGTGGGACTGCCGGATAGAACTGGCGCCCACATGGGATCCTGGGCGTGCAAGGCGAGGACTTAACCACTTGCGCCACCGCGCCGGGCCCGTACCACAGTTTCTTTAACCACTCTTCTTTGGACGTCTATCTGGATTGTTTCCATGTCTTTGCTATTGTAGATTGTGCTGCTGCAAATATAGGATTACAGATCCCCTTCTCTATGCAAATTTCAATTCTATTGGGTATATTCCTAGGAGCGGGATAGCTGGGTCATATGGCAGGTTTATTTGCAATTCTCCAAGCACTCTGAGTTGGGAAGAATCTTAAATGTGTATAGTAGTTTCTCGGCCAGAAGGGTCCCCGAGTTAGGGGCACTTGTGAAGCACTGTGTGCTGTGTTTCCCTGGCAGGGGATGTGTGCCCCATGATGTATATTAAAACTGCCTCTACCTGATCGTATCTAGAATCAAGTCAGACTTGGCAGACTCTGGAGTCCTTTACTCATCTTGAATGGAGCTTTCCGGAGAACTCAGGAAGAGACCGTGGACTTCGTGAGCAGGTGGCCTCTCTCACTCCTTTCCCTGCCTCTCTCCTCCCCACAGGCAGACATCTTTTCCGGAGCTGTCTTCATCCAACTGGCCTTGGGCCTGGATCTCTATGTAGCCATTGTTGTGTTATTGATTATCACTGGAATCTTCACCATCACAGGTGAGCCCATTCTCATGGGTTAGTAGCTCAAGTCCAGCGTGGGGCTCAACACTCATGAAGGGTAAAAGGAAATAAGAGAGGCAACCTAGGAAATGGTTTGAGAAGGGGGCATTTGCTTGGTGTCTTTTCACACAGGCCACACACATTAGGTGAGTGGTCTCAAAAAGCTCGAGTTTTCTGGAATAGGGCCGCTTCTTACAGGAGCTTTGGAAAAGCTTGATCTTGCAAGTTGACGACTTGGCTGCTGGGACAGGGCTGAGGGAATCAGGACTGAGTGGAGGGAGAATATGGAAGCAGGGATGAGCACAACAGGTGTCGGACATAGGATGAACAAGCAGATGGCTGGAGGAGGGTGGACTCTTGGAGGTAAATGGGACATAGGTTGGAGATTTCATCCAAATGAAGTCACCATGGAGCCTTGGAAGCCAGACAGGGGCCTGTCTCTTGATGGGACGGGGATGAGGAAACCACTACAAGGAGAGCAGGAATGACCCATTGGAAGAGGATTTAGAGGAAGACTCAAGAGATGACCGGAGTAGCTGATACACAACTGGGAGATCCTTTGCAGAGCTGTTACTCCACTGTGCTGGGGGTGGGGAGGGAGCAAAGTTGGCAATGGAATTTGCCGCTTCAGTGAGAACCCCATATCTCTGGACACAAGAAGTTATTTAGATGGTTTGAGGTGCAAGAAGGTGGACATACAAGGGGTCTTCAAAAAGGACATATAAAATGCATAGTATGAAAAGGTGGTGCCTGGATTTCAGAATTTTTGACATTAAAAAAGACCCTCCTTTATCTTTTTAATCCTCTTTCCAGGAACTTTCTTACAAAACTGTCCTGGAAGTAGCCCTTTGAAATGTACCAATGTAGGGATGTCCTCAGATGCTTCCACAGTCACTTCTTGGCTCTTGTGTGATTTGTTTGTGGAATAAACCTCCCCCTCATCATCCAGGGGGCATCTCTTGGCCTCCAAGGGTCCCTATCAGGCTCTTCCTCCCTTGAATAATGAGAAACATATGAATGGTCCCTAAGGCCACCGTTATGCCAGGTGTGGATTGTAGCAGAGTAACAAGACAGAGGAGGGAATATAGGCGTGTGTCCGAGGTGGTAGCTGCTGAGATGTGATGTCTTGCTGTCTCCTCTGTTCTAGGCGGCTTGTCGGCTGTGATTTACACGGATGCCTTGCAAACATTGATCATGCTGGTGGGGTCTTGTATTCTGGTTGGATTTGGTAAGTGAGTCCAGGGCAAGTTCAGGAGGTGGGGTGGCAGTGGTTCCAGTCCAAGATTGTGGGTGTGTGATCAGGGGTTGGGGGTTGGGGTGGCAGCTTCATGATCCCTGGAGGTCTCAGGTTTGGGCTGGCTCAGCGGGCACTGGATTCCCTGCTTTCTCTCTCTCTCTCCTAAGTAGCTGTCCTTTGGCAGCCTCATGGGTGCTCATTATGAGACTGTGGCAACTTGGGGTTCTGCAGAGGAATCAGACACGACAGAATGAGGCTCAATACCTAGGAGTAGGAGCTTTCAGAGATTGGGCTTTCCTTCTTAGATTTTGTTTTGTCCACCTCCTGATGTTAACTGGTCCTGTCAATGCCTTTGATGACATATAAAAATATTGGCTGCTCCATGTTAGCCTTCCTACATTTTAAAAATTTTACTTGTCGCTGTGCTCTTAAGATTGGAAATCCTGGATGGAGCGATGTGGTTGCATTCGATTTTTAGGTAGCCAAGGCTTTCTGTGTATTCCTGCAAAGATGGTTATCTGCTCTCTCATCATTTCCCAGAACTTGCATGCAGTTGTTCCTAGTAGGTATTGGTGGGTCAGCAAGGTAGGGGTTAGCATTATTTACTAAGATTAGAAAGAAGCTCTTGGCTCCTAGCTTCAGATCAGCCAAGTTCCAGCCATTAAGGTCATTTCAGGCATGAACTAGCAGGTGGAAGATCTCTCTTTTTCTATTTCCTCTCTCCTTCCCTCTCTCTTTATAACTCTGCCATTGAAACGATTACGATGTTCATTTTTGTGCCCGTGTTTTCCAGCTTTTCATGAAGTTGGAGGGTATGATGCCTTCACGGAAAAGTACATGCAAGCCATTCCCAGCATAACTTCCGAGGGAAACTTCTCCGCACCCCAAGAATGCTACACCCCAAGGGAAGATGCCTTCCACATCTTCCGAGACGCCATCACTGGAGATATCCCCTGGCCTGGGCTCGTCTTTGGAATGAGCATCCTCACCCTGTGGTACTGGTGTACCGATCAGGTACCTGAGCTGGGCATGTGGGATGGTCTTAGAGGAACTGCTGTCTGTGGCTTGTAGGGCTGGACAAGGCGGGTAGGCGAGGGTTCACAAGTACAGGCCAAGGACCTGCTATGGGAAGTGGTATCTTGGGTGGATAGGACAGAGTTTCTGGTCTGTGCTCCTCCCCTGACTCCAGTCTCCCTGATAGGTCATTGTGCAGCGTTGCCTCTCAGCCAAGAACATGTCTCATGTGAAGGCCGGCTGCATCATGTGTGGGTACCTGAAGATACTGCCCATGTTCCTCATCATCATGATGGGCATGATCAGTCGCATCCTGTACACAGGTAAAGCCATCAGCCGGATGCTTCTTTCCCAGCGCTCTCTCATCTCATCACTTCTAAAACCTTTAGAGCTTCCTACTCCCTTTTCCTCCCTTCTTTTTATTTCTTCCAAAATCTACACCATTGGCAACTTGAGGGGATGGAACTTTTGAGGTAGTTTCCCTTGATTTCTTATATTGTCAATTGTTTCACCGTCTTGAAAAAAATCTTCCAAGCTCATGACATGCCTCCAGATTGTTCCTTCCAGCTCACCCTATTTGCTCAGCTGCTGTTCCTCTCTTCGCGAACCCCAGGCTTCTGGTTGGTGGTGTGTGATTGTCCTTTTTCAGTTCCGTGTTGGAGAAACCTAGTCAGTCTCTAATTCCCAAGGTTCTGAGCCAAGATTCCTGGATAGTTTCCTTAAAGGTACCCTGAGCCTTGCAATGTTCTGGCTAAGGTGACTTTTCAGGACCCTTGCAGCTTTGTTCATTTCCTTTGTTGAGGAAAGCCATCAGGAGGCTAAACTGTTTCCTGGAGAGTAAAATAATGTGACCAAGAGAGCCCCACCTAGTGAAAAGGAAGATAGGATGGTCTGGAGACACTTGTTATTTCCCACACTGGAAGAAGCTCCTGGCTTTGGATTGGTTCAGTGCTGGCCATTGTGACCATGTTGGGAGATGAACCAGTGAATGCAAGCCATCTCTCTGTCTCTGTCTCTCTAACTCTGCCTTTCCAATAAAGGTCAATCCTTTTTTAAAAAGCAGGTGGAAATTGGAGTCATTTCCCTAATGTCTGCTTGCTAACGTGGCTTTGCATCTCTTCCTAGATAGAATTGCCTGTGTCGTCCCGTCGGAATGTGAGAGGTACTGCGGCATCAGGGTTGGTTGTACCAACATTGCCTTCCCAATCTTGGTGGTGGAGCTCATGCCCAATGGTAAGACTGTTTCTTGGGAGGCTGGTGGAGTCAGTTGGGTGTAGGCTCCATCAATGTTTCTGTAGGTTTTCTGGGGGTAAAGCCATTTCTGAGCCTAGGAAGTGGGCAGGGAGCACCTTGTGTGGGGTGTCTGGAGTTTGAACATGTCTCTCAGTTGAAGGAGACACATGGTTTGGTTGGGTGGCTGTGAGTTTCGAGGCTCATCTAACAGTCAGGCTTGAAAAGGAGACAACCTGAAAATGTGTTAGAGAAAAACAAATCTTTCCATTCTCATCTAGAAGTTCTTCCAAAGATCTTCAATTGTGGGGGCAGGGTGGGAGAAGATGTATCAATTAGGACAGACAACCATTGTGGAAAATCAGATGAGGGTTCCTGAAAAAAAAAAAGACTCAAATCAATAGATGATGCCACAACCTCACTTCTGAGATTATATCTAGAAAAAATAAAGTAGTTACTTTGAAGAGATCCTGCAATCTCTTATTCATTGCAGGGTCAGCCTAAATGCCCATCAGCAGACAAACAGATAAAGAAAATACTGTCTATTCTGTTCACTCTTTTTTCCTAAAGATTTATTTTATGTATTGGGGAGGGAGAGAGAGAGAGAAGGAGAGAGAGGGAAAGAAAGAGAGAGAGAGAGAGAAGACACGTTTCCAACTGCTGGTTCATTCCCCAGATGGCCACAATGTCCGGGATTGGTTCAGGTTGATGTGAGGAGTTAGGAGCTTCTTCTGGGTCTCCCATGTGGGCGTAGGCCCCCAATCACTTGGACCATTCTCTATTTTTTCCTCAGATCGTTAACAGGTAGCTAGAATGGAGGCAGGGCACGTGGGAATTGAACTGGTGCCCATATGGGATGCTGGCACTGTAGGCAGTGGCTGCAATGGCCAGAGCTGGGCCAGGCAGAAGCCAGGAGCTTCCTCTAGGTCTCCCCCATGAATAGCAGGGACCCAAAACACTGGAGCCATCTTTTCCTGTTTTTACTAGGCCATTAGCAGGATTGGAAGTAGAGTAGCCAGGATATAAGCTGGATATAAGCCAGGATATATGCCCTTGTGGGATACAGTCATTGCAGGTAGTGGTTTTACCCACTACACCGTGATACTGGCTTCCTTTTTTTTTTTTTTTTTGCATTGGAAGCATAAATACTCTTTGATGATATCCTTAGCCTGAGACTCTTTACCATAGTTCTTAATCACTATAAGATAGTAACCAAGCTGTCTGTTGATTTTACGGAGTCCCACCCATTCCCCTAGCATCTGGTTCTCCACCTTGATTAGGTTGATCTGGTTCAGCACAAAGGGCTCCCACCAACTTGACATACACAGGCTCAACCCCAGTTGGATGCAAGTATGCAAAGATGGATTTGACATGTGTCTGAGGTTTTGGCAGCTATGAGAATGATGCTAGGCCACCATGGATGAGGGTGCTTTTCAGCTCCTCAGCCCTGTAGTAGTCTTACCATCCACAACACATCCAGCAGCAGTGAATTCTTTAGCCAGGACAGTGGCTGTGGTTGAAGTGAAATCTTGAACTTGATTCTGCAAAGTGCCATGGTGTCTTTCTTCAACTATCATCTAGTCTTGGTAAACAGAAACATAAGTGGACGATGTGGTGTGATTCCAGAAGGCAACCGACCTTGAGTCCTTATGTTTTTCCTAGCTTAGAAGAGCTGAGATGCATTCGTGCCACTCAGGAGCATCTTCTCTTTCAGGGTTGCGAGGCCTGATGCTGTCGGTCATGATGGCTTCGCTCATCAGCTCCCTGACCTCCGTCTTCAACAGTGCCAGCACCCTCTTCACCATGGACCTCTACACCAAGATCAGGAAGAAAGCAACTGAGAGGGAGCTCATGATTGTGGGAAGGTAAATGCAACTTCTTCCTGTAGGAAGCTAATTAAAAAAAAAAAGTATTTATTTATTGATTTAAAAGGCAGACTGCTAGAGAAAGAGAGGGATAGATATAGGGAGAGAGAAAAATTAAATTCTGGTTCACCCCCCTCAATGACTGTCACAGCCAGGGCTGTGCCAAGCCCAAGCCTGAGAGTATGGAACTCCATCAAGGTTTCCCATGTGGGGGGCAGGGGACCCAAGGACTTGAGTCATTCTCTGCTGCTTTAGCGTTTGCAGGAAGGTGGATCAAAAGTGGAATAGCTGGGACTCGAACCATCACTCTGATGGTAATGCAAGTGTGGTAATGCAAGTGTGGGCTTAGCCTGCTGTGCCACGGTCCTAGCCCCTCTGCCAGGAAAAGTTAGATTGAAGACCGAGGGTTTATGATGGGCAGATGCCTAGGTAGAATGGGAGTTAGTTATGCTGCTAGTCCTATTTGCCATTCAGTGGTAGTTAACTTAGGAGCTCATTGAACAACGCCCCTCTGGTAGAGATCTTCTAATCCAGTCTTCAAGCTGTCAGTGAGCAGCATGAATTTGTCTTGCTTAAACCCAGATGGTGTGGAAAGTGACAGGCAGGATTGGAAGCTATGGCGTATTAAGTCCTTTTCTGAAGCTCTGTAAGGCTGCTCCACGCTGTTCTCAGCTCCCCACAGTGTGGCCTTTCAACCCCCAAGGCTCCTGATGCTTCATCTCCGTGCAGAATTCTGCAGGGTTACTGTGAAGGCCAAATGAGGCTCTGCTTGTGAATATACTTTTATACACATTATTTCTGAACAGGCTGGTGATAGTTCCAGAAAAATGTGTAGATAAAAGGAATCAAAAGAGAACTTCATCTTGATGACAAAGATTGTTGAAATCTATGTATAGTTTTTTCATGGTAAGTTTTTAAAAAGTGAACTTTAAAAAAAAATTACTTGAGGGAGAGAGAGAGAAAGATCTATTGGTTCACTCCTTAAATGTCTGCAATGGCTGAAACTGGGCTAGTCTGAAAACTGAGCTGGGAGCTGGGAACTCAGGTCAGGTCTGCCTGTGGATAGCAGAAGCCTAACTGGAGGGTCACCAATTAGACCTTACCTCCCAAGGTCTACATTAGCAGAAAGCTGGGGTCAGGGTCTAGACCCCGAAATGAAACCCAGACACTTCATTATGGAGTGCAGTTGCCTAAATGATCACCACTTTGGTCAACTTTTTCAAGGCTCTCAGTTGCATGAATTGCAACATCTTTTACATGAATGCGTTTTTTAAAGTTACATAGATGTGTGTGTGTGTGTGTGTGTGTGTGAGAGAGAGAGAGAGAGAGAGAGAGAGTCTTCCATCCTTTGGTTTACTCTCCAAGTGATCACAATCGCAGGAGATGAACTGATCTGAGCTGAGGACCTTCCACCGGTGCATCCACATGGGTGTAGAGGCCCAAGAACTTAAGCCATTCTCCATTGCTTTCCCAGGCCATAAGCAGGGAGTTGGATGGGAAGTGGAGCAGCTAGGACTTGAACCAGTGCCGATATGGGATGCTGGCATCAGAGGCAGAGGCTTAGCCAACCATTCCATAATGCCAACTCTTGAATGTATTCTTTAATTCCATCTTTTATGAACTTGAAGCATCCTTGTACGCAATAAGGTACTGAAAGCATTGGACCAAGCATTGATCCATGGAGCAATTGTGCTCCTTCTCATGAAAGTAGAATAAAAAAAAATGATATATGTCTTTAAAAAAATTTTTGACACCAGAATAAATTTTGCCTTCAAATTTTATTTACTTAATGAACACAGGAAAGAGATGCAGAAACAAAGAGAGATTTCATTGCTGATTCAGTCTCCAAATGCCTGCCATAACTAGGACTGGGTCGGGTCCAAACCAAGGGCCGAGAAATAATCTTGGTCTCCCACATGGGTGGCAAGGACCCAAGTACTTGAGCAGTCCTCTCTGGACTCCTAGGGTATATATTAACAGGAAGCTGAGTCAGAGTCAGAGGAATTGAGACTTGTGCCCAACCCTCTGATATGGGATGTAGGTTTTCCGAGTGGCATCTTAACCATCACATCACATACCCAATCCCTACATCTAATTGTTTAAATGCATTTACATGAGTTTTAAAAAATACCCTTATGCATCTAGATGTGTGTTATGAAGCACTTCGTATATTCTTTCATGTGGCATTGTTTGCTTACCTTCTGTTGTGGGGGGGGCACAATTTCAGAGTGTTCATGCTGTTCCTGATTGCAATCAGTATTGCCTGGGTGCCCATCGTACAGTCAGCACAGAGCGGGCAACTGTTCGACTACATCCAGTCCATCACCAGCTACCTGGGACCACCCATTGCAGCCCTCTTCCTGCTGGCTATTTTCTGGAAGAGAACCAATGAACCCGTGAGTATTCCTTCTGACATGTTTGGGAATGCCGACCCAGTGTACAAGTTCCTGTGTGGGTTTGTGTTTTTATCTTTGGGAGGGATTCTGTTTCCCAGAATTCTTAGGTGGAAATGGATGTCCTGCTGAAAGCTCATGAGGGATCACAACCATGGACCCCGGGGACTGTCCTGAGAGTTAGAGTGAACTTCCTGGCCGTTGGTCTCTCATTCATGATCTCTCTGAGTCCCCAGTCTTTCTTGCTTAATCTTAGTGATTTTTAAAAAAAAATATTTATTTTTATTGAAAAGATGTATTTACACAGAGAAGGAGAGACAGAAAGATCTTCATCTGCTTGTTCACTCCTCAAATGGCCTCAATGGCCAGAGCTGAACCCATCCAAAGTCAGGAGCCAGGGATTTCCTTCAGGTCTCCCACACATTTGCAGGTGCCCAAGGACTTGAGCCATCCTCCACTGTTTTCCTAGGCCACAAGCAGGAGCTGGATGGGAAGTGGAGCAGCTGGGATACAAGCTGGTGTTCTTGGTGATGCTAACACTTGCAGGTGAAGAACTAACTTATTGAGCCACGGTGCTGCTTCCCAGTCTTGGTGATTTTGATCTGACAGAATGATGCCCCTTAAGAAGTTTTACAGTCCCAGCTCTAAATGAAGTCCTAGTACAAGTTGCCTCCATCAGCTCTGCCCTGGCCTTGGCTTCTGAACTGATGCTTTTCAGACACAGAGAGAGGAAGGGAGCACCTGCCCCATCTGTTGGACTCGGTCTATTTCAGCCAGAACCATATTTAAGAAGTGGCATGTGAACACAATACAATCCATTTAAAGAACATCTGGCAACTTAGCACATCAGGAATAAAAAGCACAGGGGGGATCAAGGGCTAAAGAAGGGAGCTGCTCAGCGCTTGACAATAATCATCAAAGTCCCATTTTTTACCACCCAACTAAGAGTGCACTCTGCATGGCCAAGGACCCTCTTAAAATGTGTCTCCAGATTCAGACCTGGTCTTCTAGGTGAGGATGAACCACAGAGGAAGAAAACAAGGAAGGAGGGAGGAAGGGAAAGAGGGGAGAAAAGGAAGGAGAAGGGAGGAGAGAGAGAGCTTGGGTATGCATGGGACAGAGAACAAAAGAGGAGAGCAGGGAATCAAGGAAGGAACTAAAAAAAAACCACAAAAACAAAAACAAAACAAAAAACTTTGAGAAATGATCCCCTAATGTTTCTAGTCTTTTAAAAGATTCCTTCCTTATTTCCAACATGCATACCCCAAATGAATGTAGTGCAGAAATATGCAGCGTAAATTTTATGTTCTTGAACTTAAAAAAAAAATCATGAATCTGAGTCTCTAACAGGGGGCTGAAGAAGGAAGCATGATTTCTATCACGGTGGAAAAGACCCCTTCCCCATTCATTCCTCAAAGATCCGATCTCTTTTGTGGTGTATTTTAGGAATACCTTCTGCTTCACAAGTAATAATGCTAACATCTGAATGATGCCTAGATGTGCAGGATGCTTTCCATGTGTGCTGGTGTAGAGGTTCACCTGATTCTTCAAGTTAAAAAGGGAATTCTGGAACAAAGGTGTTAGGTTGACCAGTTCCAGGATGCTTCACCACAATTCTATTATGAATTTTTGCTTAGTGTTCTGGGTGAAATCATGTCCTTGAATCATCTTGAACCCACTCTAGGCCCTGATGGAACACTTCTTAGTGGTGCTCTGGGCTCCGGAGTTCAGGCTTCCATTGGGCTTGGAGCTACCATTTCATCCATTATTCTGCCTTTGTCTCTACTCTCCCTCCAATTATGTGGCAATATTCAGCCATCTTACGGATTTAACACGAATTGCTGTGGGATTTTCTTTCACAGGGAGCCTTTTGGGGACTGATCTTCGGATTCCTGGTGGGAATTTCTCGCATGATTGCCGAGTTTGCCTATGGAACTGGGAGCTGTGTGGAGCCCAGCAACTGCCCCACGATTATTTGCGGTGTGCATTATTTGTACTTTGCCATCATCCTCTTTGTCATTTCCATCATCGTCATTGTCGCTGTCTCCCTCCTCACCAAGCCCATCCCAGACGTGCATGTGAGTATCCATTTGTTACATCTCTCTTGTCCTTGTTTTCCCATTCATGATGCAACAGCGTTGGCTGTTGTTTGGCGTTGGCTCAGTTACACATACTCACATGATGCCCACATGTGACATGGATTTCATGCAAAAAGATGGGAAGCAAGGTGTCCAGTAGGACAGTATTGAATGTGTGTCTTCAGCAAAGAGTCTTCACAGCAGCCCATGCCTTGCTTCAGGTACTGTTTTCTCTGTATTCTGCTCCCTGAGTGACAGTTAACATACAAAGCTGTAAGGTCCTGTGTGAATGGACCCAGGGATGCTTTTGCTTAGGCTACCATGTCACCTATGGAAACTGATATTTCTCTGGTTTTTATTTAAAGATCTACCTATTTATTTACTGAAAAGATAAACTTATGGAGAATGTTGGTGATAGAGAGAGAGAGTGAATTCTCTTATCTTTTGGTTTACTTCCCAAATGGCCACAATGGATGATACTGGACCAGGTTGAAATTAGGAGTCTGGGACTCCATATACCTCATCTAGGTCTCCAATATGGGCATAAGGACCCAAACACTGGGGCCATCTTCAACTGATTTTCCAAATGCATTAAGCAGGGAGCTGTATTGAAAGTGGGGCAGGCAGGACCTGAACCAGTGCTCATATGGGAAGCTTATGTCGCATAACCTGCTGTGCACAATTCAAGCCCTGGAACTGGCATTTCTTATGACAGTCTCGGGGATCAACTCTTTCAGGAGTACCAACCAGGGACTAGCTTCTCTACAACACTTAGAAAAACTCAAACTGTGATTTACCTCTTGAATCGTATACAAGTATGCTACCGAAGAATTGTCCATAGAATTTAAGACATTTATAACATTATGCTGCATTATAACACGATGGAAGGCAACACATGGCAAAAAGGCACAAGACAGGTGGGAGAGTGGGGGGGCCTAAATTCATCCTTGTATCCCTTGTATCAGAAACTCGCTCCTGGAACCCCCAACACTAACCTAATCACCAGCAGAATACACAGGACCTGATCATGAATCCCATCTCTTAATCTTGTCCCACTGGCAACTAAACCTCAGCTTGAATTTTGAAGCGGCCATTCAAACCATGGCACAACATCAAAGTCCAATCGATCCAAGCCTTAAGAATTACAGATGTTTTTTGGGCTCTGGATGTGGGCTCTTGATACCCACATTGACTTAGGATCCATTCACAGCTTTCCCAGTTGAAATAAAGATGAGGAATTGTGAGCCGTCTTCATTATAAGCAAGCTGGGACTCAACTCGGATGATAACTCACCCGTGTCATGTTTCCAAGGGAACAGGACTAGTTAGTTAACCCAAGATCATTATAGGTAAGAACCTATAATGAAAGAGAGAAGTTTTGTTGACGCTTTACTCATGCCTACACAAATACAAGGATGCTTCAAAAATTTGCTAACAATGATTCACTGGATAATGTTCCTTTGTATGTGTGCACATATGTGCATATACACATAGGCAGCCATATAAAAAAAAGAATGAAATCTTGTGATTTGCTGTAAAATAGATGGAACTGGAGGACATCATGTTGAAATAGTAAGCCAGACACAGAAAGACAATTACTGAATGTTTTCCTTTATATGTGGGAGTTAAAGTAAAAATGAAAGAACAAACTCTCAACTAAACACATAATGTTGTTCGGTAGAGGCTGGGAGGGATACGAAGCTTTAGGACTAGAAAAGTGAGGGAAAGTTGGGCGTGGTTCAGTAAATTTGACATAGAGACTAGCAGATATTTAATAGGAGAAAAATGGGTAAAATTTGGTAAAAATATAAGAAAAACAAAATGAAATAAAAAGAAAATAAAATACACACAAAAATCATATTAAAAGTATGAGTTTGCTTGGTGCAAAAATTTTGAAATCCACACATTGTTTTCTCATAATGTATGTTTCTCCTATATTATTGACAACTCTTTCTTTGCTGAATGGGCTTGAAGGGCATGCAAAGGTTTTTCATAATATGCATTTCCACCAACTTTTGGAAAATACCTGATATGCATGTATTTTAAAAAATATTATTTAATAAACTTACCTTTTAATTTAAAATTTCCTATAAACCAAAAGTACCCTCATGTGATTTATATTTGTTTTCAGTGTACTTGTACGTAGAGACAATGCTGTGGATAGAAACTGTTAATCTACATTTTTGCTGCTCCTGAAAGGCTGTCTACTTTCTCCTTTCTTGAGGCATGTCTCTTTGTTTTCCCTGATGGAACATTCTGGTAACTTGTCTGGCTTTCTACACAGCTCCATCGTCTTTGCTGGAGCCTGCGCAACAGCAAAGAGGAGCGCATTGACTTGGATGCGAAAGAGGAGGAAATTCAAGAACCTCCACCTGAAGCCATGGAAATAGGTAAATTTTGTACTTTCAGCTGGTTCCCAAGCCATTAAAAACCAGTTCTGCTGCCAGCAAGACAGCTTCATCAAAGCCTTCACTAAATGCCTTTTGTCAGAGCTCAGATCTCTCCTGAAGAAGGAAGTGAGGGGCAGAGTCGGGGTGGGCTTCAGGAGGTTTCTACTCTGAGACCTACTCAAGGAGGAGAGGAAAGTGCTGGTTCATTCCAACTCCCTCACATCTCATGTCTCACAGTGTTCAGTAAGTGCAAGTGAAGAATTTCCCACCCCATTTACTTGAGGCCCCGGTGAGGTGGCCTAGTGGCTAAAGTCCTTGCCTTGCATGCATCGAAATCCCATAAGGGTGCTGGTTCTACTCCTGGTAGACCTGCTTCCCATCCAGCTCCCTGCTTGTGGCCTGGGAAGGCAGTAGAGGACAGCTCTAAGCCTTGGAACATTGCACCTGTGTGGGAGGTGAGAGATCCAGAAGAGGCTCCAGGTTCCAGGCTTTGGATCAGCACAGCTCTAGTCGGTGTGGGCGTTTGGGGAGTGAATCAGTGGGCGGATGATCTTCCTCTCTGTCTCTCCTCCTCTCTGTATATCTGTCTTTCCAATAAAAATAAAACAAATCTTAAAAAATCTTATTTGAGAGAAGAAAGAGAGAAAGAGAGAGAGCGAGAGAGAATGTTTATCTGTTGACTTACTGTCCGAATGCCTGTGTCAACCAGGGAAGTGCCAGCCTGAAGCCAGGGGCTGGGAGCTCCGTCTAGGTCTCTCCCATGGGTTTTAAGGAGCCAACAGCATGAGTCATCACTGCTGCCTCCCAGGGTCTGCTAGAATTGGAAAGCTGGAATCCTAAGTGGAGCCAGAGCCCAGAACCAGGAACCCTGGCGGATGATGCAGGCAACTAAGCAGTGGCTTAACTGCTTAGCCCTATTGTCCACAAGCTTCTTGAATTATCCTCATGTGCTATGATTCCCCAGCTCGTTATTGACATTTCTATCTCATAAACACTTGATCCTCTAAATAATCCTTTTTGTGCTTTTCCCCTGATGCAGAAGGTCCTGAGAAGAAGAAAGGAATCTTCAGGCGGGCCTTTGATCTGTTTTGTGGATTGGACCAGGGTAAGGGACCCAAGCTGACCAAGGAAGAGGAGGAAGCCTTGAAGATGAAGATGACGGACACCTCGGAGGTGCCTTTGTGGAGGACTGTGGTGAACATCAATGGTGTCATCCTGCTGACCGTGGCTGTCTTTTGCTACGCATACTTCGCCTGAGTCTTGCCTTCTTCCACGACTCAGCTAGGCTGGAATCTTCACTCCGCCTCCCTTTCATCCCAGCCTGGGGTGTTGAAGGGAAACCATTCCTTGTGAAATTTGCCCCATTGGATAAATGTGTATATGCGTAAATGATAGGCTGGCTGGAGGAAAATCATTCGTTGGGCTGTTCATATAGGTATTCAAAGCCAGTGAACTGTCGCCATCTGCACCTACCAGAGCTGCAGAAAGAAATTCTATTGAGACCCAGAAAAAGAGAGAGAGAACAGACAAACAAGAAGCCCCACGATATCGGAGCGAGTCTCCTTCAGGTAGAGTGCACAGATCAACACTGTCATACGTGAAGGTTCTCTTAAGCATGTCGATCTCCTGGTCTTCACCATTTCCTTTGTATGATCTCTTTCTCTTAGTATTTTTTTTAAAGAAAAAAAATTTTTTCCTCTTTGTCATCATATCCCTGTCACATTTTTTCTCTGCGTGAGAAAAAGAATCAATCTGTTAAAGGGAGGAATGTGTGAGAGCTGTGGATGGGAGCATGGTGGGATTGCTGGCCCCACCATTTACTCTTGGAAGTGGAGGCTGAGGGCGGAAGTACTTAACCCAAAGGGAGGCACCAGCCTCTAGCCTCTGGTCACTGTGGGAAGCAGATGCTCCTGAGTGCAGGGTGTTGAGATTGGGGCAGCAGTGTACGTGTGTGTGTGTATGTGTGTGTGTGTGTGTGTGTGTGTGTGGGTGTATGTCCTAAACAGTGTCCATGATGACTTCCCAGTGTTTGGGATTTCATTCGTTTTGGCATTCCCTGGGCCTGAGCCACCCAATCAATGTTTGCTGACTAAAGGATAGAGGTGTTTATTTAGAACTACTTGCTTCATTTTTAAGCCTTGGTCTTGGGGAACCCTTTCGGTGGCTGCACAAGGCTTCTCCTCTGGTGACCACAACTAGTCAGCATGCGTTGCTGGAGGACCCCTCTGTATCAGGGTGCTAAGGTTGACCTGTCAGCTTGGGAGCTGACACCACGTTCCATAACAGAGCAAGATGCACCTGCCGGGGGCACCTGTCATTCAGAGTGGCCTTGCCCTCCTGATAAATGTGGAGACAATTAGCCTTGGATTTTCTTTTTTAAGGTGTCTTGATTAGTGACCATGGATGGACAAAGGTTAGGATCAGTGGTTTCTGTTTCAGGTGAAAGTGCTTCTCTTCTGTAGCCAAGAGGGATACATTATTTGCATTATTTCCCTAGGTAGGACCTAATTTTTCTTTTCCATTTAATGATTAAGTTAATTCTTTTAATTTCAAGTGCGCAATATTAATAATAAAATGATGGGCCCAGAGTGGTGGCCTAGCAGTCAATTACTCACCTTGAACGCACCAGGATCCCATATGGGTGCTGGTTCTGATCCCAGCAGCCCCACTTCCCATCCAACTCCCTGCTTGTGGCCTGGGAAAGCAGTCGAGGACGGCCCAAAGCCTTGGAACCCTGCACCTGCATGGGAGACCAGGAAAAGCTCCTGGCTCCTGGCTTCGGCTCGGCTCAGCACCAGCTGTTGCGGTCACTTGGGAAGTGAATCATCGGATGGAAGATCTTCCTCTCTGTCTCTCCTCCTTTCTATATGTATCTGACTTTGCAATAAAAATAAAAATAAATAAATCTTTTTTAAAAATTATAAAATAACAATTCAAGGGCCTGGAGCAATAGCCTAGCAGCTAAAGTCCTTGCCTCGCACATGCTGGAATCCTGTATGGGTGACAGTTCTAATCCCGGCTGCTCCGTTTCCCATTCAATTCCCTGCTTGTAGCCTGGAAAAGCAGTCAAGGAAGGTCCAAAGCCTTGGAACCCTGCACCCACATGGGAAACCCGGAAGAAGCTCCTGGACTCCTGGTTTCAGACTGGCTCAACCAGTTGTTGCAGCTGCTTGGGGAGTGAATCATCGGACAGAACATCTTCCTCTCTGTCTCTCCTCTCTGCATATCGACTGTCCATTAAAAATAAGTCTTAAAAAAATGACAACTCAGGAAACTGGAGTTAAAAGATGAATGTATTTCGGTGCAAAAAAATTTTGAGGAGCTAGTGTTATGGTGTAATGGGTTAAACCACTGTCTACAATGCTGGCATCTCATGTCACAGCACCAGTTTGAGTCCTGGCATATCTGTTTCTGATCCAGCTCCCTGCGAAGCACGTGGGAAGACAGTGGAAGGGCCCCTGCCACCCCACATGGAATTCCAGACCTTGTGCTTCGGTCTGGCCCTGCCAAGAGCTGTTATAACCATTTGGAGATTGAACCAGTAGATAAAAGATTTCTCTCTCTCTCTCTCTCTTTCTTCCTCTCAGTCACCTGGCTTTCAAATAAATACAAAATGAATCTTTAAAACATTAACAAGAATTGGGCCCGGCGCGGTGGCGCAAGTGGTTAAAGGTCCTCGCCTTGCACGCCTGGGATCCCATATGGGCGCCAGTTCTAATCCCGGCAGCCCCGCTTCCCTTCCAGCTCCCTGCCTGTGGCCTAGGAAGGCAGTCGAGGACGGCCCAAAGCTTTGGGAACCTGCACCTGAGTGGGAGACCCGGAAGAGGCTCCTGGCTTCGGATCGGCATAGTATCGGCCCGTTGCGCTCACTTGGGAAGTGAATCATCGGACGGAAGATCTTCCTCTCTGTCTCTCCTCTCTGTTTATCCGCCTTTCCAATGAGAAAATAATAAAAATAAATCTTTAAAAAAAACATTAACAAGAATTCACACAAAGTTTTTTTTTTTTAAATAAGACATGCTTGTCTCCCTGAAATTCTCTCCTATGCATGGACCACAGACTTTCTTCTGCCCTGAAGTTAACGTATCTTTCAGCAGCATGTTCCACAAACTTTTTGAAGTACCCTCAGATGGCGTGCTTTAATCTCATGGAAGTGAAGAAAAAGTCACTGTATTTGTTTTGATTGATTTCTGTCTACCTGGTGGTGGTGATGCCTGGCTTGCTCGTGTGGAAGGAAGGACATGCAGCACCGGTTGGAGTTGCCATTCCCTTCTGTCTGGGAAGAGAAGAGGGAAAAGTAGATGAGTCCACTCAATCATCACTCAGTCTCAGGTGTGGTTTGTGCTGTTTTGAGCTTTGACAGAATAAAGGGAGGGAACTGGGTGTTGGCGGAGGAAGCAGACAAAATATCCAGATGGTCTTGGGATCCATTTCTGATTTGCCAAAGATGGATGGTCTATTTAATGGTAAATTGTTTCATCTCAACTGTGTATTTTTCTGTTATTGGAAAGGTGCTTGCAGCATCTGGTTCCTGTGGCTGTGACAAGAACACTTGGAAAAGGGGACAAGAGTGAAATATATCCACAAAAGACCCCATACAGATGCTATGTGAAGCTGCATTAAAGTCCCACAAATCAAAAAGTATTACTTTGATAAAACTAGAAATACTAAAACAAACAACAAACAAACAAAACTACAATGTCTAGAAATTCTGGATAAGGAGCAAACATTAGTTAGCACAAAGATATACTAATGTAAATTTAACTTGCTAAAATCGAACATTTGGATGATGATTTAAATAACAGCATAGAGCAAACTAAATTTAGTGGAGAAAAATACTGAGTCCAGGAATCACCCTAAGATGTACTAAAAAGATATAGAGTGAAGAAAAACGTGAAATGAAATTCAAAAGGCATAGCCCAGGGAGTCCAACATACATTTAATTGGAGCTCAAGAAAGTGGTTAGAACATGGAGGAAAAGAAGAGAGATTGATGCCTGACTCAACATAAAAAGATGGGAGAAAACTATTAGGAGAAAAAGGGACCACGTCAGCTCCCCAGAAAAATCTCGTTTATGATAGCCGAAAAGTTCTTGGGAATAAGTCAATCAAAATACGAAGCATCTCAGTAGCAAAAGCCATCAAACACTACTAAAGAAATTCAAGAGGACAAGTAGATGGAAAGATAGAGTGTTCATGAATAAGGAGAATGAATACTGTTGAGAAGTGTCAGTACTACCTGGCGTGATCTGCCAATCTCCTGCAATCAGTATCGAAATACCAATGACATACTTCACAGAAATGGAAAAGAATCTTGAAATTTGTATAAAGCCACACAAAACCCTGAATATTCAAAAACAATACGGAGTCAAAAGAACAAAGGCGAAGGCATTATACTACCTCACTTCCAAATGTACTGTAAAGTTACAGCAACAAAAACAACATAAAAACAGACACATAAACCAATGGATCAGAATCAAGAGCTCATTTAGTCATTGTTTTATGACAAAGCTACCAAAGTACATGATTGGAGAAAGGCCAGTCTTCTTCAATGAGTAGTACTGGGGAAAATGGATATTTATATTCAGAGGAATGAAATTAGACTTCCAATTTTAGCCAACTACAAAATGCAACTCAAAGTGGATTAGAGACACAAGAGCCAAAACTATGAAACTACTAAAAAAATGTAGGGGAAATGGTTCATGATACTGATCTTGGCAATAAACACACACACACACACACACACACACACACACACACACACACACACACACACACACTGGGATACTATTCAGCAATATAAAGGATGCATTCCTGTATGTATACACCTGAAAGACATTGTATTAACCAGAAAAAGCCAGACTCAGAAAGACAAATAATGGTTAACAGAGACGGAAGGAGAGAAGGTTGGGGCGTGGTTAGTCTGTGGGATCCAAGGTACAAGCGGATAGGAGGAGTAAGTTCTGGTGTTTTATTGCACAAGCTATCAAGGAGGCATTACCTATTTCAAAACTACAAAGAGGAAAAGTTTTCAAGTGCTGATTTCCTCAATTTGATCCGACTCAATATATATATGTCATAAAACCGTATATTGTATTGTATAAATATACGCAGCTACTGTTTGTCAATTAAACAAAAATATTAAATCACTATGAACACATGACCTGTAGACAGTGAATACTCAAGACATGGACTTTAAGGAACATTTTCTATTTATATGCAAGTAATACATATACAGAACATATAGGCAACACTTACAAATGAAGTAGAAAATTAGCAAAGGGGTAGATGCCTGGCACAGCCTTTAAGACGCTGTGTGGGACAGCTGCATCCTGTACCTGGGTACCACCTATTAAGCTTCTGTTAGGGTACATGCTGAGAGGCAGTTCAAGTCAGTGGGTCCCAGCCACCCACATGGTAAATCAGTTTGAATTCATGGCTGTTTAAGCCTAACTTAGAGCTGCTGAAATGACCTAATGGATTGAAGATCCCCCTCTCGCCATTCTCCTTCTGCATTTCAATAAATAAATAAACATGCATTGCTAAGATTTAAAAAATATTTGTTTATTTTTAATTTATTTTACAATACAGTGCCATAGGCTGTGTATGATGGGGGAGATTTCTCCTGCCCTATTTCCCTCCCCCCACTGATTTCCCCTATATTATTATAGTATGTTATAACATTATAGGTCATGCGATTCTGAAGTTTTGAATTGATATTTAGGGAAAACATTTGGGGCCACACTGAGATGGGATGAGTGCACTTTGCCTTTGAGAGGGGCATGCATTTTGAGGGCCACTAATGGAACGCTGTGACTGACCATATTCCTAATGTTCATGTGTTGGAAAATTAATCCCCAGTCCAGCAGTGTTGAGATGTGGGACTTTGATGAGATGATTGGGTCATGACAGCTGTGTCCTCATGACGGGATTGATGATGTCATCCAGAGGTGTGTCAATTAACAAGAAAGTGGGATGCTGATGAAAGGATGAGTTTGACGTCTCTGTCTGCTCTTCCACCTTTTTGCTATAGGACGCTGGATACGAAGGCCCTCACCATATGCAGCATCTAGGTCTTGAGCTTCCTAACCTGCAGAACTGTACAAAATCAACTGCTGCTATTTCATGGTTACCCAGTGTATTTGGGCTGGAGCAGTGCAGAATGGATTCAGGCAGTGGTGGCTGCTGGAAACTTAGGGGACAAATAGAAACTTCCAGTTGCAAGATGAAAGTGTTTTGAGGTTCTAATGTGCATCGCGATGGTCATACTTAGTGGTGATGCACTGAGTAGTTGACACTCACTAGCGAAATAGATCTTAAGTGTTCCCACCAGATGCACAGAAAGGGGACTATGTGATGTGTGTGTTGTCCCTTAATTGTTGTCAAGGTATACATGTATCAAGTCATCATGTTTTACACTATATGTATGTCCATACATGTGTATATGCTATTTACTTGTTAAATATCATAGCAACTTATATCTACATGCCTAGTTCACATACATAAAGGATCATCACTAGCTGTATAAAAAATGATCAACTCCTTTTTAAAAAAAATTTTTTTTTTTTTTTGGAAAGGCAGGTCAGATTTATGGAGAGAAGGAGAGACAGAGAGAAAGATCTTCCATCCGCTGGTTCACTTCCCAAGTGGCCACAACAGCTGGAGCTGAGTCTGTCAGAAGCCAGGAGTCAGGAACTTCTTCCTGGTCTTCCATGTGGGTGCACAGTCCTATAGCTTTGGGACTTCCTCAGCTACTCTCCCAGGCACATTAGCAAGGAACTGAATGGGAAATACAGCAGCCAGGGCATGAACCAGTGCCCATATGGGATCCCGGCACTTGCAAGGTGAGGATTAGCCAATCAAACAATCATGCTAGGCCCAAATTATCAATTGACACAAAATTAAGAACAAAGACAAAACAAAACAAAAAAAACTAGTCTTGGGTTGTTTCCTTAAGTCTCTGCCTCCCTCATGCAATGCAATGCACTGTAAAATGGAAATCAATGAAATTATCTTTGCTTAATAAATATTTCTGTGCTTGGGCTTGAGTTTAGGCAAAATAAGCGTGCAGAAAGACAGTCACAGCTAGGAGGATGATGGCGTTGATATTCACGACCATCCTCCACAAGGGCCTCTCAGATGTGTCCGTCAACTTCTCCCTCAGGGCCTTTTCCTCCTCTTGGGTCAGCTTGCTTCCTGTCTTTTGTAAGCCACAGAATATATCATATGCCTTCTTGAGACACCCACGCGATTTCTTGGGATTATCTGAAAGCAAGATAAACATAGGATCACCAGCTTGGAAATAGAAATTCTTTTTTTTTTCTTTTTATGATTTTTGTCATATTTCTTTTTTTTTTTTTAAAGATCTCTTTTCATTGGAAAGTCAGATATACAGAGAGGAAGAGAGATAGAAAGATCTTCCGTCCGATGGTTCACTCCCAGGCAGCCACAGCAGCTGAGCCAATTCGAAGCCAGGAAGCCTCTTCCAGATTTCCCACGCTGGTGCAGGGTCCCAAGGCTTTGGGCCGTCCTCGACTGCTTTCCCATGCCACAAGCAGGAAGCTGGATGGGAAGTAGGGCTGCCAGGATTGGAACTGGTGGCCATATGGGATCTTGGGCGCGTGCAAGGAAAGGACTTTAGCCACTAGGCTACCACGCCAGGCCCGAAATAGAAATTCTTAATGTAGTACAATTGATGGTAAAGAACGTTTACAACCTTTTTTTTTTTTTAAAAAAAGATTTACTTATTTTTATTTGAAAGGCAGATTTTGCAGAGAAAGGTAAAGTAGAAAGAGGTCTGCCATCTGCTGGCTCATTCCCCAAATGACAGCCAGAGCTGAACCAATCCAAACCTGGGATTCATTTAGGCCATGGTCCACCCTCCATTGCTTTCCCAGGCATAAGCAGGGAGCTGGTTGGAAGTGGCACCAGGACATGAACTGGTGCCCATAGGAGATACTGCAAGTTGGAGCATTAGCCTGCTATGCCACTGCACCAGCCCAAATTACATTTATGTGAGCAAAGTCCCTTAACATGAACAGATACATCTATCTTTACATAAAAATACAAAGTTTTTGCACATCCTAAAGCTTAATAATCAAGCAAAGGCAAGTAGCAAAATTAGGGAGATATGTGCATGTTAGGTTACAAAGTATTTAATGTCTTTAGTATTTAATGGGTTGCCCCAGAGATCAACAGTCCCATGTACACATTCTAGAAGGACAAATAAACAGCAAAAAAGGGAAAAAGGGGATAAAGGGAAAAAATGCACTATTTTAAAAGTTCATTCATTCATTCATTCATTCATTCATTCATTCATTCATTATGAGGCAGACATAGAGAACTCCCGTGCAGGCCTAAACGCCCGCAATAGCTGGGCTGACAAGCTGGAAACTCCATCCAGCTCTCCCACATGTGAACTGTGTCCACATGCTTGCCTCCTGGGGTCCACATTAGCAGGAAGCTGGAACTGGGAGCAGTCCCAGGCAGTCCAAAAGGGAGGCAAGCATCTTAGCTGTTAGGCCAAAAGCCAATTCTTTTTTTTTTTTTATAAAAGATTTATTTTTATTAATTTTTTATTGGAAAGGTGGATATACAGAGAGGAGAGACAGAGAGGAAGATCTTCCGTCCGATGATTCACTCCCCAAGTGAGCGCAACGGCCCGTGCTATGCCGATCCGAAGCCAGGAGCCTCTTGCGGGTCTCCCACGCAGGTGCAGGGTCCCAAAGCCCTGGGCCATCCTCGACCGCTCTCCAGGGCCACAGGCAGGGAGCTGGAAGGGAAGTAGGGCTGCCCGGATAGAACGGGCGCCCATATGGGATCCCGGGCGTGCAAGGCGAGGACCTTTAACCACTGTGCCACCGCGCCAGGCCCCAAAAGCCAATTCTAACTAATGGTCTTTAAAGTCACTCAAGAAAAAGAAATCTAAAATTATTTGAGCTATGACTTCTTTTATGTCAGTGGCAAAAATTCAGAAGGTTCATGATACACTGTGTTAGCCAGTATGTATGTAAACAAGAACTTTCTTATATTTTTACACTAATATTACTTGGACTTATTCCTTTGTGTTTTTTTTTCCTCTTTCATTCAGTATTCACTAATTTTCCAACCTGTCTTCTAGTGCCAATAATGAAGATTAGGCACATTTTCCCCAGAGCAGATTTTCATGTGTATAATTTTCATAGTCATTTTTCTCTAAGTATAATCTTACTTTCAATATGACTTCTCATGGACAGTTTAGTTTAGAAGTATACTTAGGGGTTAGGGTTGTGGTATAGTGGGTGGAGCTACTGTTTGCTATGTTAGAATCCCATAAGTATGGCTCCATTTCTGATCCAGCTCCCTGCTAAAACAGCAGAAGGCAGCTCAAGTGTTTGGGTCCCTGTTACCCACATGGGAGTCTTGGAGGAATCTCCTGGTCTAACTGTAGCCATTGTGACCATCTAGAGAGTGTACGGTGGATGGAAGATCTCTCTGTCACTCTGTATTTCAAGTAAATAAGCAAATGAACAAGCAAATATTTGTAAAAAGTTATTTTGCCCACCAAATTATTTTAAAATTTGAGTTCCTATAAATCTAACACATGTTTAGTTTCCTACACATCTAAGAAATATTTTTAAGAAGCTGGAGTTAGGGGCAGTAAAAGAACTGTCCAGAAGCCATGTCGTGCGCATAGATTTCCTATTTGAAAATCAAATGTAAACCAGCTGTTACCTTCTTCAACACTTTGATCAGATTCTTCTGGCTTTTCCTCTTCTGCGTCCAAATCAATTCGTTCCTCCTTACTGTTCCGCAGAGTCCAGCACAGGCGATGTAGCTGACCAGAGCCACACACAGCATCATTAGAGACAGGCAAATGTTCATGATAATCTAGTAGTCCCTTTGCTTACTGTATGATTTAAAGCAACTACAAGCCACACAAGGATACAGATAAAAGGGAAAAAAAGGTCTCCTACTCCGTCCACTTATCTAAGCACTATCATGTTTTGCTTTCATATTAAATCTTCACCTGTGTATCATATCCTTACAACTCTTCCTTCTGGGCTCATAGTTTCAAGGAGAATCCAAGATGCAGTGAACACATTTATACTTAGCTTCACTCATTGTCCTTATTATCCAAATGCTCACTGGCTACATCATCACGACTTTCCAAATGTCTAGTGTAACTTGGATTGCTTTTTATAATATCCTTTTAACTTCTGTGTTTAGATAGCCTTGATGTGTGATTCTTGGAACCCAGTTGCAATTCCCTACACAACTGTTTTCCTTATTGATCTTCAAACTTCTGTCCACCACATCTCTCTCTCTCTTTTTTTTTTTGAATTTTTGTTAGGTTTTTATAGACTGCTAGTTGTGTTCTGTAAATTTAATTAAGATTTCCATGCTCGGCTTGCACGTTGGTTTAAACACGTGACATGAAATAGAATTAGTGCTATTATGTAACTTTCCCCCACATCGGCCATAGATCCAAAATATGTAATTGGATGCAAGGGATAAATACCAACCCTGGGTCCTTCTAAGAAGGTTCCTCTGAGTATCAGTGAGTCTTTAAACTTAGACTTCATCACGTTTTCTAAACAATATTTTGTTTTAATTAGACCCACTTTCTGATACACATAATTTTCAAGGGAAATAGGTAAGCATGCTTTGCTTCAAAGATTATAAGTGATCAATGGAGAAAAATAAAGGCCAGTAATAAAAAATATATAAAGGCTAGTCATGGAAATATAAATGTTAGCAATAAATTCACTTAATATTATATTGTTATTTTAAAATAATTAATTGTCTACTTTTGATCGTCCAGCCCTGTTACCCATGTGCTTAAAAATTTCTTGGGGTTCATCTTGTATAGCAAATTTTTCTCTGAGAAGTCCCTTCCCGGATGATAGCTAAGCCCTGTGGTGCTTCTCAGCTTCTTGGGTACCACTGATTACCCTTTTCCTGATATGCTGTAACAACAGTACTGATTTACTTCCAAATTGCATGTTGAGTGTCCTCAGTCTGCAGCCTGCTTTCTGATCCTTACTTCTTCCTTCAGTGATGCTTTGCCCACACCAGACGCAAACTGCTGTACAGCCGACAGATCGGCTGAAAATTTCTTAGGGTTTGTCTAGCTCTGTTGGTAGAGTGATTCCATCCAAGTTTATGCAAGTAGCAGCTTTAGAATGCAAACACTTGTGATAATTCTGATTTGAAAATGAACATATACCCGCTACCCAGCACTCACATGAACATCCGGTATAGGTTTTGTTAAGAGGGAAACTCCTAGGACGACTGCTGTGGTCACAACAAAGAGAATGATGGCAAAGTATAGGTAGTGTACTCCACAGATAATAGTCGGGCATTTGCTGGGAACCATGCAACTCCCTGTTCCATAGGCAAATTCTGCAATCATACGAATAAGGCCCATCACAAGTCCAATCATAAGACCCCAGAATGCACCCTGAAAAAAACACACATACACAAGAGCAGAGGGTTTAGCACAGATGAGAAGCTCATTCAAGTAAACTGTAATTATAGTGCTGAGCATGTTTGCAAGGAAAGTTGCAAATGTGAGGATAATTCAGATTCAGGGAAGAATGGAATTAGAAGATAAACTTCTTTTAGTGCAAAAGTTTTTGAAAGTCTTGCATAGCATGTTTAATAATGCACATTTTCTATGATTTTTTGAGAAGACTTTGTAATGCATATGGAAAAAAATGTCTTCTTAAGATTCATACAGATGTCTAAATTCAGACATCTTAATGCTTAGTGCTTATTGGATTAAAGGTGGGGATTGATCTAACTGTGATGGTTAGGAGGTGGGATTGGAGGGAAGTTCGGGGTTCCTGGGGTATGCCATCAGAGAGTGGATCTCAAGAGAGGAGTTGATTGTTTGAGTTCTAATTCTGCCTAGTCTCTCTCTGCTCCCTGGATCAACACATGATGATTTCTCTGTAACCACCTTGACCACTTGCCATCAGACACCAGACTAGGCGTGTCTGATGCCCAGTGTTGAGTTTTCACCATCAAACTGTAGGCTGAAACATACCTTTTATTTTTCAAGTAGTTCCTTTTGGGTATTCAGCTAAAAATGACAAAAAAAATATTGGACTAATGCATTCTTGTTTCTGGGGTTTCATTTTCTAGGGTCCTGAAGCACATCACCTTAATGGCTTTTCATCAGGACTCTATTGCTTACACGGACCCAAGGGGAAGATTCGCTTAACTTTATTTTATCGATGTATTACAAACCTGTGAGTTTCTGTAGCATAAAGAGGGGTTCCACTTATGTTATACCATTTGCAGAATTGATATTTAGGTGGTTTGGGAAATCTGTTACGCCCTTAACAATGGAGAACATTTATTTCCTCTGAGAGGTTGTTGGAGGATGAAAACATGTGCCCCTCCTTTCCATGTTCCTGGTAAGTTTGGGGAAATGACATTGCATGGTGAAAAACTAGGAGCTGAATCTGAGTCCTAGCACCCCACTTGTTAATACATGGAACATGTATAGGTATTAACCTCTCTGCACCTCTTGTTTATCTGAAAATCATAATAGAGGCTAACACCTAGGACAATTAAGGAATGAATCAAACATAGATGGTCTACAATTGTCAATTAACGATGCAGCATAATAGCAGTACTTCTCTGATAGATTTTCTCCTAAGAATTCTATAAATTTTATCTCCATTTTTTTTCTCACAGCAGTTCACAAGGTGGGAAGAATTATTATTTCCATTTCAAAGGGTATCACATAACTTGCTTCAGATGACACTACTCTTAGGTACTCAGTCATAACTGGACCCTGGAATTCTGTCTCCCAAATGTGTACTCCTCAGTACTGTGTCGTGGCTGTAGTGTTCTGTAAGAAACTTAAGAACCACATGATGAATGAACGTATGTATTTTGGTATTTTTGGGTAAGGAGTAGGAATTGTGGCTGACAAAGGCTGACATCAAGGTGAATCTGAAGTTGTGTAAGTTAGGTAGCAAGAATGTATTTTGATACCCTAGTGACTAAAACACTTTTTTCTCACTCAAAGCCCCAGGTTTCCATTACCTGTTCATTGACTCTTTTACAGAAGATAGCCAGCAAGAAGACAGCTGCAATCGGAGGCCCAAGGTAGCTGGAAATTCCTTCCGTGTAATGGACTAATTGTCCACTTCGAAATACCTCTACTAAGGGGATCCACATGATGCTGACAATAATTAGAAGAATGACAAATAACCTGGTAAGGAAACAGAATGATTTGAACGTTGGACAGAAGCCATATGGGATTCTCTGTTGTGTTTTTATTGTGAGCGTATTCATTTTTGTTGCTTACTAGTTTGTCAAATTAAATCAGGTTCCTTGACCTGACATGAATCCACGTCATGTTTGGTGGTTATCTAAATGCTTGCTTGTGAAAGCTCATTACACCATTTCCAGGAGGGTAAATATCCATTCGCAAGAACAGTACAAATGTCAGCAACTTATTAATAATTGGCTAATGTGATACATACATATGTCAATTAGAACTGAACACCAGAACTATTTCCACTGATAAGCAATTATTTATATGATAAGAAAAGCAGACTCCAATTATGGTGTTTTTACTACCTTGAGTAAAACTAAATGAGTTTTCATAGATTAGAATTGAAGCAGTTTCTGTTTATCCTAGCATATTGAGAGAGTTGGCAAAAAAAAAAAAAAAGAGAGGTATTTTGTGACTTTACTATTTGGATACCGTGTAAGGTAAAATTGATTAAAATATTAGAAGTTCCTGAGGACCAGGGAACATGACTTTCCTAAATCTTTCTGTGCTTCAACATAATCACTTACTAGACCATGTACAGAAGGTCATCACACTCTGTTCACTTGAAGTAAAGATGTTTTGGAAGGCTGGAGGGAGGAACAAACATTGGGCAGGAAACTGAGGCATAGTAATCTCATTGAAACTTTATAAAATGGAAGCTACCTTAAAACAACCAAATGAGATAAACACATAAGGTCTTAGCGCAAAGGCCAAGACCCAGGCAGGATTCTATAAATGACATCCATTATCATTATTATTATCATCACTGGGAAATAAATCATGTACCTGCCTTATTCTCTTAGCTTCAATTGCTTCTATCACAAGTTGAACACAATCCAAAGTCTCCTTATAGCTGGAATGCTCCCTTCCTGGTCTTGCTTGTTATCACTCTCCCACTGGGTCCTCGGGTGCCAACCTCATTCCTTTGCTGTTCTCCAACATGCCACACACGTGACTGCCAGAGGAAGGCTGCATTGATGTTTCCTTAAGAGACCTGAGGCTTGCCACCACACTCTCTGCAGGGACCCACTCAGATGCCACCTCCTCAGAGAGGGTTCAGTGTGCACCTGTGTGAAGTGACTGTCATCCTTTTGTTCTAACTCATTGTCTTCTGAGCACCACTGGTCACCTGATACTGCATACATGTATTCATTGTTCATCTTTCTACAAAAGCACAAATTCCACAGAGCAAGAATTCAAATACACCTCTTCATATTTGTGCTTTTAGAGATAGTAGATGTTTGATGAGAGAGAGTGGGGGAAAAAAGCCATTCATTTTCTTTAAAAACTTTAAAGTTAATATAAAGGGAACAGATTTCATGCAGTTCATAGGTATAAGCCTAAACAGTCTGTTGTAGTTCCCTCTCCCTTTAACCCTCCCCTTCCTCTCTTTCATTTTTGATTTATGGTGAAGATCATAATTCTACTAGAGTATTGCATTGGGTATCAGTCATCATTTTCTCTATCATGGACACACAGATCCCTGGCTGTTCTGCCTCTCTGGCCGGAACAAGTGACATCTTCACCCATGTGCCTCATTTACTGAAATGATTGCTATCTATTATCTCCAGAAAAGCACAAGGAGTGGGGAACAATAGTGCTTCAACTTCCCTTCCACCTAATTGCACACTTTCGAAATAAAGTTCAAGTGACAAGCCACAAGTACACAATAACACATCATTTTAGAAGAATCACACACACACACACTCACACACACTCACACACACACTCACACACACACACACACACACACACACACACACACACACACACACACCAAGTATTAAAAGAGAAAGGGTGGACACCTTCATCTTTTACTAGGATATGTCACCCCTGATAACATTCAATGACAATGTAACGAACCTATCAGAGCAGGTGGGAATTTTTTTTTTTACCTCCAGAAAACACTGAGGAAGTTCAGTGAAGACAAGATGGACAGTTGTATGGATGGAGGACATCATAAGAGACTTTCATTTAAAATGAGGGCCTTTGTAAGTTGAAATAAGGTCTTCTAGTGTCCATCCTGTCTTCTTCTGAATGGTTTGGTTCCCTTCACACAAGCTGAAAACAAGAGAGATTCATTTCCTCCCACACCCACTTTTCCCGGTAAGACATCTTTAGAAACCCGAATTCCTCACCGTCCAGCGATCAGGAGCTCCTTCTCCGATGCTTGCTTTCGGATCTTGGTGTAGAGGTCCACGGTGAAGAGGGCGCTGGAGCTGTTGAAGATGGAGGTGAGGGAGCTCATGAGAGAGGCCAGCATGGCTGACAACATCAGGCCTCGCAGCCCTGGAACAAGAAGTGGTGCAAGTCCTGGTTAGTGACTGGAAGGTCAGGATCTGTTGAGGATCTTGCTGAATGAGAGATCCATTCAAAATTGCATATTCTGGCTGGTTAACCAATGTCCTTATTGAAACACATCTGCTTGTGGGGCGTCCCACTTATTTCTTGGAGATTTGAAAATAACCCAGTATAGGATTTTAACCCTGTGTGTAAATGTAGAGATCATTTGCCACAGTCTAGTTTTGGAAGAGAGGAAATAGGGCCAAGCCAACAAGGGGAACCCTTGGCTTCCTAAGGCTTTAGAGATCTGGGGAGTAAGTACCACTGCTGACAAGTCTTTGCTGAGGAAAGCTGAGGATTTGGGATCATGGTGGGAGCTCTGTCCATTTGTCATAGCTCCAAACCTCCTGGGGCAGAGTAAGACGGGGTGCACAGGAGATCATGCGTGTGAGTTATGCTTCCTTTATGCTGGGAATGCTCACATGTGCCAGGGAGGAGAAAGGTCACTGAAGTATTACCTAAGCTTTGATAAGCCTCAGGTATAAACTTCCTGGCCACTTCCAACTCCTGCACTTTTCTCTGTTTTTATTCACCACAGCAATGAATATCTTCTGATGACCTAACAATTTACTTGTTTTATATGCGAAGTTTATTTTCTACTAGGATGTGAGTCCCAAGGAATAAAAGTGGTGGTTTTTTTTTTTTTTTTTAGCACCAAGGCACTATTTGGTGCATAGTGCACTCAGCAAGCAGTTGTAAATGATATAGGTTGAAATCTATTATTAAGGCGTCACTAGCCCAAAGAAGAGATAATAAATAGTTAACTTCCATGTGCTCCAGAAGTCCCACAATGTTACGCCAAAGACATGGACTCATTGTACCAGAGAGATATCTGCACCACATGCTTACAGCAGCACTCTTCACAGTGGACAACATATGGAATCCGAAAGAGAATCCATCATCAGTTGCACGGAATGTTATCGCGTTACAAAAAAAGAATGAATATCTATCATTTACATCAGGATGGTTGAAACTGGAGGACATCATATTGAGTGAAATAAGCTAGACACAATAAGACAAACACTGCATGTTCTTCTTACGGGAGGCAAAGTCAAAAAGAAAAAAAATTAGAAAGGCTTGTGTGTATCAGCTTTAATGAAAATACATCGTTTTATCAATCTTTTTTTTTTTTAAATCATGGCCAAACAAATTGTTGAAAAAATTATGGACTGTTACAGTTTAATGATTTTATGGCTATTTTAAAGTTTATATAAGGAAAGGTGACTATTCTACTTCTATTATTGTTAGTAGCCTTTGTCTGTTGTCCTGTTCAAATTTGGTCTTTTTTTATTTTTTTGATCTCTTTATTTAGTGGAACATTAAATATTTGAGTATAATGCAAATTAACAATGTGTTATCTCAAATAAGAAAAAAATTTTCAAGGGAATAAATGAAAAAGAAATGTCTGATGAACAGAATAGAATTAATGGAAGTAATGAAATTACCAAAGATCAGAGAACAACCTGTTAATTTTTAAAGATTTATTATATTGATTTGAAAGGCAGGATTAGAGAGAGAGGGAGAGACAGAGAAAGAGAGAGAGAGAGATCTTCTACCCAGTGGTTCACTCTTTAAATGGCTACAACGGCCACTGTTAGTCCAAGACAAAGCCTGAAGCTAGGAGCTTTATCTGAGTCTCCCACAAAGAGAGCTCAAGTGTTTGGGCCAAATTCTCTGCTTTCCGAGGTGCATTAGCAGAGAACTGGTTAGGAACTAGAATATTTGGGACAGAAACTAGCACTCATATGGGATACCGGCGTCACAGGAGGAAGCTTTAGCTGCTATGCCACAACACCGGCCCCCACAACTCGTTTTTATGGATCATCTAGAAACCAGGTTCCTAAGGCTATCTTAGCTTGGAGATTTTCTTACCAGCCGGCATCAGTTCCAGCACCAGTGTTGGGTAGGCATAGTTAGTGCAGCCGACATCAATGCCACAGTGTCTTTCACATTCAGAAGGTATGACACACGCTACATTGTCTGAGGAAGGATTCAGAGAGAAGTTCAGTGAGTAGATCTCAACCAGCAACAATCCATAACCATTGGATAGTAGGGCAAGATCTTGGGGGAGGGGAGAGATGTTTACCTAGAAATTAGAGATTCAACTTGGAGTACTATGCCATGGAACTGGTCCCTTTTTCTTCAGCACATGGCCTCCTAAGTGTCTTATACCCATAACTCCTTTTGTACCAACCCGTGGGACAGGACTTTGCTTTGAGATGTGGCCCATGGAGAGCATTACAGCAAACAGAGGGAGCTGACCTCACATTCCAGAAATGTGACAAGAGCATACATAATGCCAGGAACACAAAATTCCAAAGATACGTAACAATCCGAGAACAATCACCACCAAGAAATTTGTATTGGATGTCCAGGCGTCTCTAGCCTAAAAGTGTTCACGTACATCAATCATAAAGGGTCACTCAGGATGATGGATTAGGGTGATTGTTCCTTGTGATGATGTTTCTTCTTTAACAACAGTTACATAGAATATTGGGGGAAGTTTTTTTTTTTGCTTAAACTTTCTTATGACCACAGATAAAGCAGATTGACAAAGACTCATGCTCAATACCTCCTTTTTAAAAATTCTAATACTTTGCCACAGAGATGTCTTTTTTCATAACTATGATAATTGATGAATTGTTATTTTGTAGTCTTCTTTTTTTGTAGTCTTCTTTTTGCGTTTGACATAATAACACCAGTTTTTTTTTTGTCAAGTTTTGAAATAGTCTTTAATTTCTTGAATGCAGTTGACCATAAGGGCAGTCATTTCTTTAGCTGGTCTCTACTTGTTGACTATTTGTACATTCTTGGTTGTTATAAGCAACATTGCAAAAATGGTGTTGGTCATTTGATAATGAACAAGATTTCAGTAAAACAAACAAACAAACAAACAAACAAAAACACACTGATGCTCCATTGAGGAAACATGAAGTGGATGCAGTGTTGTCTGATGAGTTGGTCTAAACACATTAAGTTCTTTTATTAGTCAACTAATATTGTACTTTCTTCACTTTTCATAATAAAAGAAGAAAGGTTATTTCTAAGGAGGGTTTTCAATGCTAGTGGTCACTAACATTGGAACCACTCATAAACGAATGTGTCTCAAATAATCCAAACTCACAGTAATTACCCTCAGCTCTCTGCCGGTCTCCTAGGGACCAAGAAATGAGAATACATCTCAAAACCTTCTCAGAGATATCACTGCACTTGACTCCTGCAGCTCACCTCATTCCGGTTTGCTCAAGTTACCCGGTCCTCTGGGATCCTACTGCAGTCTTCTCTAGGATTCCTTACATCCATGCCACTCCTGAACTCAGCACTGACAGACTCAGATGTTAACAAGGAACCAGGCAACCTGTAGGCAGTGAGATCAGGGAATGGGGAACCTGACACGTTGACTTCTCCTGACTGCTCATCCTCCACACAAGGATTTCCATCTACCTGGAATTTCGCTTTCATTTCCTCTCCAGAATGGGTTTTTCTAGCCTATCAAGGATCTACTGCATCTAAAAATGCTTCTCAACATTCAAACATGAAAAAGAGGATCTGTAGGGCTCCCGGCTTGCCTGGGTACAGGATGCGGCTGATCATTCCTGGCATCACCATGAGGAACAAGGGAAGTATCTTCAGGTAACCACACATGATGCAGGCGGCCTTTACGTGAGACATGTCCTTACCGGACAGGCAGCGCTGTACAGTAACCTGGTGAGAAAACAAGGCCTTCTCATGCAATACTCAGAGGATGATTACCAAGAAGGCAAGCATCTTTTCAGGGTTTAATGTTGTGGTAAGAATTGATATTATTTTCAGTAAAAATAAATAAATAAGGGTTTTGGAGTAGACCAAACTTTGACTAATTACTCCTTTTTTGGGGTGAGGGATGGGCATAATGTTTGATTTTTGTGAATTCTGGGTTTCTTATCTCTAACGTAAGTTTATCTCCTGCAGGGCTTGTCTGAATGCTTGGCATAATATCTGTAAGACTCTTGGTATGTAAAAGCTGATACTCATTTGCTACTATGAAAATATTTTTGCAGCTCCAAAACAGGCTCCTATGCAATGATGATAGTGTGTTCTTTTAGGTACAGGGCTGTTACAACTGATGTCACTACAAGCTGTGTGCTTGTGGCATCATTAGCATTTCTATACTGTTTCAGGGCAATTGCCTTATTGAGAAATCAAGTTAGACATGGAAGCACCATGTATTGGATCCATTAGAACATAACACTGAGACACCCATCTATATTTCTTCATAGTCTGAGAACTTCACCCTTCACTTGTAGTTAGGAACCAAATGTTAAAGTCCTGGGGGAAAGTTGGTGTAACTTTTGAAATTATACTTAATTTTTCAACTCAAAATTTTCTAGAAAAGCAGAATTTCTATTCCCAACAACACTTCTTGTAATTTCTCTGATTGAGGGCTGTCAGAAAATAGAGATGCCTTCTTTGGATTAATTCTCTTTGTAGAAGCAATCTGCTAGGGGTATCAGGGTGGCACCTAAGACTGGGGAAGTAATTGGCGTTTTTGTATAGAGAGCTAGAGTAAGGTGGAGGGAAAACATCAGATATAGGTGAGGAGGAAAGCCATTGACAATCAATGTCAGCAACCTGGCCAAATGGTGAAGGTGATAACGCTTAAAGAAGATCAGGCAGCTCAGCAACAATGAAACATAAATAATAAAGATGGTTGCAGAAATCAAAGGTGACATCATGCATGCTTTGGCAGCTCTGCTGAGAAAGGAGGAAAGAGGATTTGCTAGAAAGTTTGCAAAGTGTTTGATGTTTATTGTATGATGATTACCAAGACAGATCAGAGTAAGAACTGAAGTATTATTAAATCAATGGAAAAATGAAAAACTAAAGAAAATTCCATCTGAAGATGTCATGTATGCAACTCAGTTGTGAATTACATTTGTGCAGTCCCAACAAGGGAAGCAGTAAGAACTGATCTATTCAAAATTGCAATCTCAATGGTAGGCTGGGACAAGATGTGCATGAGTGTGTGTGTGTGTGTGTGTGTGTGTGTGTATGTGGGATTGAAAATAAATGGTGTAAGGGGGCTGAATGCTAATGTCTCCTAATGGGAGGCCAATGGGACCATCCTAACTTTGGAAATCCAAGAGGGAGCAAGGCAAGCATTTATTTGAAACAGGAAATAAAGACAATGAGAAAATTCAGATTAAACAGGTCTGAGAGTGTTCATTTTTAGCTCGCTCCAAGGTGTTGCTGATGGTCCATTGATAGTTTAAGGATTTACAGAATACAAATAAGTATCAAAATATTTAATGAAAAGAAATAGGAGTGTTTACATCTGAGGGACAAGAAACAGAACATCAGGCAGCCTTATAGAAGCTTTTGACTCTTTAAATGATGTGTGTATGGACAAAACAAAAAACCAGATGCTTTCTATGATATGACATAGGACAACATAAACATTCTGTCTTTCTCTCTCTCTCTCTCTCTCTCTCTCACACACACACACACACACACACACACACACACACACACACACTCACACACATATGAATATCTCACCTGGTCTGTGCACCAGTACCATGCAGCCACAATGGGCATTCCAAATACCAATCCTGGCCATGGAATGTCACCGGCGATGGGATCTCGGAAAACGTGGAAGGAATCTGGTTTAGGAGTGTAGCAGCTGGGGTTGGCGGTCATGTTGTCTCCCTCGATTACAGATGGAATGGCATTCATATACTTCTCCTTAAAACTCTCATAGCCTCCAACTTCATCAAATGCTGGAAACGCACCAGACACAATGAACTGTCTTGCAGAAATCTCAGACTCCTGATTTTGATGATAGCTTATTTGTGGAGGAGCTATATGTTCTGGGTAACTAAATTCTAAATGCAATGTATGGAAGAAGTGGATACTCCAGGATACTGATGACCTACAAAGGGACACTGTTCAGCTAAAATTATCTGCAGTGATGAAACTTCTGTGTTCCTGTGCTAATATAGTAGCCACTATACTTACATGAAACATTTGAACTGGAGTTAGGTAAATGAGGAACTGAGTTTTTAACCTAAGTAGCCATATGTGGTGAATAACAACTATATTGTGTTAAAGATTGTCACTATGGATTTGTTATTTGGCAGATCTTTCAGCTTTTGCCTCACTTATGAGACTACTTCAAAAAGTTTGAGGAAAACAAAAGTCAAGTAAAAAAGAAGTCAGTGAAAAAATACACTTCATATTATGAAAAACACCACATATGAACTTTAAGAAATGTTTTCACTGACTTCTTTTTTACTTGATTTCTGTGCTTTGGATCCAATGTAAAAATATTCCTGTAAAGTTCATCAGCCCAATGCTTTTGAGTTTGTCCATTCTGAACACAAAGAAATGAAAGTTCAATAGTTCTGTTACTCAACATTCTTAAAGGAACAATAAAACTTTCCTACCATTTCCTCATGCCAAGGAAAGAAGTCAGACAGATACTTGAACGGTGGTCATCAAATAGATGATAAGAAAATGTGACCAGACAGAGCAGCTAGACAGAACCATGTCCCATTGTCCCTGAGACCAGGGCACTGGGAACCCGGTTATCACTTACCATAGCCCATGAGAATGAAAGAGCCAACCAGCATGATGATGGCCTGGAGAGTGTCCGTGTAAATCACTGAGGCCAAGCCACCTGTTGAGAGAAAGATAAGAACTGGGCATGCAATTTATGGGGACTCATCTAGTTGCCTTCTCTTTTCTGTTCTTCACCAAACCAATGGGTATAATTCAGCAGACAGACATCTAAATTTACTGGATGATTCCTAAACTTCTCTTGGCATCATTGCTTCCTTAGTTGTGTATTTCATGACTTTCTCTCTCTCTCTCTCTCTCTCTCTCTCTCTCTCTCTGTGTGTCTCGATTCAAAATTTCTGTGAATTGTGGGGTCCTGTCTTAGTGAGTTTTTAATATTAATTAGGGTGAAATGCAAACTTTTTATGTCATGAGAGTTTTCCTTAATGACCTCAATTTCCTACTTAGTACAGAATACTTGGTCCCCCAACATCTGGCAAAAACATTTGGCTCTTGTATTGGGACATGTTACTGTTTGAGGAATAGTATGCCAGTCACAACCATTGACTTGTACTTTGCTGAAATTCTGTACCTAAAAGAGCTTATCCTTCAGTTCTAACTTATCACTACCCTGAGGTGAATGGAACCCTGTACCCATGTGGCAGACCTGCAAGAAGCTCCTGGCTTCAGATTGGTTCAGCTCTGGTCATTGTGACCATTTAGGAAGTGAACCAGTGGATGACAGATTCTCTGTCTCTGTGTCTGACCTTCTCTCTATATCTGCCTTTCCGATGAAAATAAATAACTACCTAAAAATTTAATTTAGTATGAATGAGTCACTATATCAACACATCTAGTTTCTGAGAGCTTTCTTAAAATCTTGCCATACTCCTTCTCCCTAGTCAACACACACTGGTCCAGTTCTCACCAGTGCCATTCAAAGCCTTGGCCACACCTTGACATCTAATATTCTCTTGAGATTCATCTTCCAGATGCCTGTCTCCTATTTGAGCTGTTATTTTATTCCAGTCTTTCATATGTGTGCTATGCTTATAGCTAAACCCCAACGGGGTCCAAACACACAGCTGAGCCAAACCACCAGTTTCCCATCCCACATACTTATTAGTTTCCTCAGTCAAGATGGTCATAGCTGTTGGTGAGGATTCTTTTTTAAAAATTGTTTATTTATTTTTAAAATCAAAGTTACAGAGGGAGAGGAAAATGGAGAGTAGAAGGAAAAGAGAGGGAGAGAGATCTTCTGCTCTCCAGTCCATTCTGATGGGTGTAATGTTCAGTTTTGTGCCAGGTTAAAACCAGGAGCTCCGTCCAGGTCTCCTATGTGAATTGCAGCAGCTCAAATACTTTGGCCACCTTCCCCTGCTTTTGCTAGGCCACTAGCAGCGAGCTGGATCAGAAATGGAGCAGCTGGGATACAAGCCCCAACCCTTATGGCATACTGATGACACAGGGAGTGGTTTAACAAGATACACCACAATGCCTGTTGCCCCTCATTTTTTTTTTAAGTTTGAGAATTCTTTAAAAAAAATTTAACTTAATAATAATTGTGTACATTTTTGTACCACAGTGTGACATTTCAATACATGTATATAGTGTGTACTAATCAAATCAGGGCAATCCACATTTCCTCTTCTATGACATGATTTTCTGATTGGAGCTTGGAGCTTCTTTTAGGTATTTTATATAGTATCTAGCAGGTTGCTGTAAACAATGGTCTCTCCACTGTGCTGTGTAACTGAAAGAACTTATTCTTTTGAGCTAAATCTGATTTGATATCCATGATCCAACTCCCTCTAAGTTTCAGCCCTACTTCTCCAAGCTTCTAGGAATTATCATACTGTGTTCAGATGGAAAAACTCTAGGTTTCACACATGAGGGAGAAGATGTGGTGCTTGCTTTCTTGTGTGTGGCTTATTCCACTTCACACAAATGTCTTCCAGATCCAGATATTTTGCTGTGAATCACAGGGTTTTATATGACTGAATCATCTTTCGTTGTGTTTATTTAGACACTTCCTTGATCCGTGACCTGATCATCGATGCCTCGATTGATAAAGGGTATTTTGAACAGTGTTGTTTAAAACATAGTGGATCAGATTATCTCAGATACAATGATTTCATATCTTTTAGACATATACCCAATAATGAGGTTGATGGATTATACAATAATTCTATTAATTTTAAAGAAGCCTCCATTCAGCTTTCCATAAAGCTCAACTAATTTATTTTTCCATGAACAGTGTGGAGGGCGGCTCCCTGTCTTCACTCTCTAGCCAGAGTTTGTTGCTTTCTTTCTTTTTGATAGCAAAAGGTGAGATGGCATTGTTGTTTTGATTTGCATTCCCTGATAGTTATTGGTGTGGATGATTTTTTTCATATGTTGGCTGTTCATTTGTATTTCTTCCTTTTGAAAACCATCTCTTTCGATCCTTTACCCATTTCTTAACTCAACTAGTTGTTTTTTGATTATTGAATCTTTTGAGTTTCTGGTATATTGTGAATATTAATCCATGGTTAGATAAGTGCCTTGTAAATATTTTCTTTTTGTTGGCTCTCTCTTCAATCTATTGATCACTTCCTCTTCTGTACAGAAGCTTCCAAATTTGATATAATTCAATTTTGTTCAGTTTTGTTCTTGTTGTCTGTAATTTCATTATCTTATTTTTAAAAATCACTACCTACAACAATGTCTTGAAGTGTTTATCCTGTGTTTTTTCCTACAATTTTATAATTTTAGATTTTACATTTAGGTATTTGACCCATCTTTAGTTAATCCTTATATATAGTGAGAGGTAGGTATTGAATTTCATTCATAAATGTATTGTTTCTCCAGTTATGTTTTTGGTACAACTGATCATGTATATGGATTAATTTATGGGTTCTCAATTAATTTATGGGTTCTCCATTGACTAGTGTCTCAATTTTTATGCTGGTACCATACTGACTTAATTACTGTGGCTTTGTAGTATATCTGACATTCAAATATTGTGATTCCTCCAGTATTAGTATTACAAGTATTTGCTCAGGATTACTTCGGCCGTTTTGAGTCTTTTGTGGTTCCATATGAATACTAGGATCATCTTTTTTTAATTCTGTATAGAATATCACTGGTGTTTCGGTAGGGATTGAGTCAGTAGTTTTTTTTTTTTTTAAGTAGCATGGACATTTTAAAAACATGTTAATTTATTTGAAAGGCAAGTTAGAGGGAAAGAGAGAGAAAGGGAAAAAAGAGAGAAGAAGAAAAGAGAGAGAGAGAAAGAGAGAGAGAGCTTCTGTCCTCTAGTTCACTCCACAAATGGCTGCAACAACCAGGGCTAGGTCAAGCCAAAGCCAGGATCCTGGAACTCCATCCAGGTTTCCCACACGAGTAGCTGTATCTCAGAAACTTGGGCCATCTTCCATTGCTTTCCCAGAAACATTAGTAAGAAGCTGGATCAGGAGCAGAGCAGCTGGGACTTGAACCGGTACTTATATAAGATGTCAACATTGCTATACTACAATGCCAGCCCCATACAGGTCAATTTAATTATACTAATTCTTTCAATCAATGAACAACAACTATAGTTTCATTTTTTTGGTGTTTGATGGCTTTTTTCATCAGTGTTTTATCATTTTCATTGTAGTTCTTTTGCTTCTTTGGCTAAGTTCTTTTTCTGAGTATATAATTTTTGGAAGCTATTGTGAATGTGATTTCTTTTTATTTCCCTTTCAGCAAGATCATTGTTGGTGCCTAAAAATACTATTTTTTTTTTCAGTTAATTTTGAGTCTTGTGACTTTACCAAATTGTTCTATTAGTTAGAACAGCTTTTTGGTAGAATGAATGCTGAGGTTTTTCCATGGACAAAATCCCACCCTTTGAAAACATGAAAATTTTGATGTCTAGTATATGTGCTTCTGAAGCAAGCACGATAATTTTGATTTCTTCGTTTCCAATCTTGTCCTTCATTTTGTTCACGAGTGACTAACTTCAACACTTCTCAGACTATTCCAAAAGACTGCATAAGACTGAAAAGGATGGAACTCTGCCTAACTTTTTTTTTTTTAAAATTAAGACCAGCATTACTCTGATACCAAACTAAAGACACAACACAGAAGGAAAAACTCCAGGTCAATATGGGTGATGAGTATCGGTGCAAACATTTGCACCAAAATATCAGTAAACAAAATTCAACACAGCATCAAAAAAAAAAAGATCCTACATTAGATCAGGTGGGATTTATGCCAGGAATGCAAGGATGACTCAACAGCTACAAGACAATAAATACAGATTTGGCTTTATTTGTTTTCATTGTGTTTCTGGCCCGTGCCTGATTCTCATGCTGTGACTGAAATGATGACTTGACAGTAACAGGACTGACACTGAGGTTCATGATTGCAGGCTTGGGTGGGTTCATCAGAAGACAGCATAACTGAACAAAACAAGCAACAGACTCACCGGTGATGGAGTAAACAGCAGTGATAGCCAAGAGAATGCAGATTGCGAGGTAAAGGTCCAGTCCCAAGGCCAGTTTGATGAACACGGCTCCAGAATATATGTCTGCCTGAGAAGAGACCAGCCAGAGTGGGAAAGAAACACATTTCAGATCGTTAGCTTCTCGGCTCCAACGTTCTCTTTCTTTCCTTCCATGTGATTCTTTTCCTATCATTCCTTCAAGACACCAGCTAAATGTCCCTACAGCAATATTGTCTACAAAAGTAAAGTTGCACACCATAATTTTCACTTAGATCATTGCTCAGGGAGACATTTATTACATGGGGTCCTGAGGATTTTTTCTGCACCACAAGACCTAGAGTCTTTAAAATAGGATAGAAAGCTACAGTAATTAAAACTACATGGCATCTGAAAAGATTTATAGAAAAGTGCAAAAGAACAGAGATGCCCAAAGTTAATCCAGATAACTACAGCCAATTGATCGTTCCCCTAAATGCCAAGGAAAAAGAAAGTGTGTTATAAAAAAAATAGTGTTTCCAATAAGCTGTGTTTGGGAAATTGATTCTACCCTAACCAGAACTAGAATCCTATCTCTTATTATGCACAAGAGACAAAACAACAAAACAAAACCTCAAAATGAAATTGTGAACTAAGCTGTAAGCCTTGAAATTGCTATTAGAGGAATAGTGAGAACATTTTAGGACATTGGAATAAACAAAGACTTTGTGGCTCTGATCTCCAAAGCACAATATGTAGATGGCTCACTCCAGTTAGACTGACCGTTGTTTAAAAAGACAAAATATACCGAGTGCTGGAGAGAGTGCCAAGAAAAGAGTTACCCTGATTCACTGCTGGTGGGGATACACATTCGTATAGACCATTGTGGAAAACAGTATGCAGGTTCATCAAACAACTGAAATCTGGCTCCTGCACATAGATCCAGGGGAAATGAAATCCGCATTCCTATGCTTACTGAAGTACAATTCACATGAGCCGAGAAGTGCGACATTCTGAGCGCCTGTGAAAACCACCTGCAGCTCCATCCATCAGGGATCACCTCCCTCCTTGGCTATGCACAGCAGGTACCCTGTCCTTGTCCAAATACCCTGGCTTGTAGTTTGGCATGTGTTGTTGTGAGAATACATCATGTGTAGAGTTCTTATTTCCTTAGCCACAGGGTGAATCCTGTTGTTCGTGAGTATTGGTAGTCTCACTTCAAGCTCAATAGCACTCAGTGAGTACTGGAAAACAGTTATGGTAGACTAGGATGGCTCAAGCCATCTAAGCAGTGGGTTTTCTTCAACAATGAATGAGCTCAGCTGGGGAGTAGCATGATCACTGAGGAACCTACCTGCGTGTGGATCTGAGGCTATTTCATTGCCACTGATAGATGGAGCAAAGTAATTATTATTTCCTTGTTTTCTGCACATAGGACTGAATCTTCAAATTTCCTTCCTGCTGATTTACCTTACTTTATCATTTATTTAGTCACCTGGTTTATAGGGTTAGTCTTAGATCAAATGGCGTGCATTTCAGAAAAGTCAATATAGTCATGCAAGCCATCTCCCTTTGGCTCACGTGTCTGACATTCCAACTGAAAATGGAAAATAGAAACCTTGACCTGCTCTGAAGGAAGAATAAGGGAAATGGAAAAGGCGCAGAAGCAGAAAAGTCCTCTTTTTCCTACTAATCAACTATGTTATGTGAAGAAGACATCTGCTTTCTGTGCATTTGTGTTTTCACATCCTTGATCAGTGGGTAGATTTCCACTGCGAGACTTCTCATGGCTTGGAAGTCTGCTCTATGCATAAGGGTCTCTGAAGCTTCTTTACCCTATTTAGACTCCTGGGAGTTTGAAGCATCTAGAGGGTCTGACCCTGTGCGGACTGTCAACAGCGACGTAGCACGGCTCCTTGACTTTGTCATGCTGACCCATCAAGCAACTTCATCAAAACTCACCGAGATTCTCAAAGCCACCGACATGAAGAGGGAGAGGATAGAAAGGTAGATCTGAAGTCGCTTCCCACCAAACCGCTTCTTGAGATATTCCGGCATGGTCATCACCTGCAGAGGCAAACACCCGGGGAGTTCCCCTTCAGAATCCAGAGCACCCAGCTCGGTTCCCCCCACCCCTCACCAACAACTGTTAATTGGCATCTCAGGACGGTTGGACACTGAGTGTGTGGGGCATGTTGGGATCATAGAGGTGAGTGTATTGTCATATACAGAGTTTCATGAACTTTTTGAATTCTCCCTCATAACATTACGTATTCACTCACGCACAAAATTCCACTATGTTTTTAAATCCAAGTACATTTTATTGCTTAATTCTACATTAAACACTTTCAAATGAAATGTGTAGAGGAAGAACATATGTGGAAGTAAGGGAGAGAAGGGAATGTGATGAACTCGGCTCTATGGAACTGAAACCGTTAGGGAATAATAGAACCACTTAGAACTTTTCAGAATTAATAAGAAAACTGCAAGACCTCAGATTGAGTAACCCATTGAGTAGAACAATTCGAGCTCCAGTCCTTCCCTGGCCTGGATCACCAGGCTCCTGTGCATTTCTGTTCCAACTTCTAGCCCCAGACCCAAGCCCTGACCTCTCCAGACATCCATGGACCTCACATCCTCTCATTCTGGCCGTATCTACATTCTTCCCTCTGTCCAGGATCATCTCCTTAACTGCCTTAACCTAACTGACCTCTGCCTGTTCATTAAGTCTCCCATCTCATGGATGGAGACACCCAGACTGGATTGGGAGCCCTTCCAATAGCCTCTTAAGGGGTTTCCTAGCACAACATACCTACATGAGATGAGCTTTGATTTAATTCCTCTCATACTGATGAAAGAATGATGCCTTCTCATTTACAGAGAGATCCCTGATACCGTGCCCAAGTGGCTACAGCAGACTGGGTGTTCAGGCATCGTTTCTCAACCCAAGCATGCTCTTGTCAGGAACTCCAGCCTAGCTCTCCCTCCTCCTCACTCTACAATTCTCACTCCCCACACTGCCTGCTGAGTGTCAGCTAGTGTTCTGCAGGCATCAAGCACTCATCCAGACCCAAAGTGAAGTCCACCATCTGAGCCCCCTGCAATCATCCTGCTACACTGAGGGCAGTCTCACATACCTGGGCCCTTGAGCCTCAAGCCTTAGAGCTGCTCAGAAGATGACCTGCTCCATTGTCTGTATGTATAATCGGTCATCAAACATGTTCTTTTCACTCCAGAAGCATGCCCCTGCTTCTTTCCTCAATATTCATGAGGCATTGTGTAAACCTCTACTCAAGCTCATTCTCCACTCAGTTGTCTGAGTGCAATAGCTTGAAACAAGAATCTGTTTATAACCTTGCAGCCTACATCATTCATGGCTAGGAGGACACAGAACATGTCTTTTGAAGTCTAGAAGACACTTGAATCTTTCACAGTTCAAGGTCACTTATACCTGCAGTTCTGTCTACACTTCCCAGGATTATATCCTTACATAGTATTTTCTAAAGATTCATTTATTTATTGGAAAGGTAGATTTACAGAGTGAAGGAGAGACAGAAAAAAATCTTCTTTCCATTAATTCACTCCCCAAGTGGACACAATGGCCGGAGCTGAGCCAATCGAAAGCCAAGAACCAGGAGCTTCTTCTGGGTCTCCCATGCAGGTTCAGGGTGCCAAGGTTTTGGGCCGTCCTCAACTGCTTTCCCAGGCCACAAGCAGGAAGTTGGATGGGAAGTGGAGCAGCTGGATAGGAACTGGAGCCTGTATGGGATCCTGGCACAAGCAAGGTGAGGATTTAGCCAAAGTCGTTGCGCTGGATCCATATACTGTCTATTTTTCACCATTATTGTTCCTGACCTTTAAAGGGAGTTTAGCTTTCTTTTGTTGTTGTTGTTGTTTTCATGATCCTTTGTGACATGCCATTTCTACGTACACAGGTGGCTCTTGTTTTTAGTGGCTCCAATCAGGTTACTTTTGAGAAGCACATGATGGCCCCAGCTTCAAGGTTCCTACCCGCGGGTGACACCCACTATAGTTATTCTCATGTAGCCAGCACCTGTTTGTCACTTAGATGCAGTCATATTCTTCTCTTAAAGGCTCCTAGGAGGGCCTGGCACGATAGTCTAGCAGTTAAAGTCCTCACCTTGAACACCCATATGTGCTCCGGTTCAAATCCCGGTGGCCTCATTTTCCATTCAGCTCCCTGCTTGTGGCCTAGGAAAGCAGACAGGGATGGCCCAAGTCTTGGGACCCTGCACTGCCCCTGCGTGGGAGATCTGGAACAGGCTCCTGGCACCTGGTTTTGGATTGGCACAGCTCTGGCCATTGCGGTTCCTTGGGGAGTAAATCAATGGATAGAAGATCTTCTTCTCTGTCTCTTCTTCCCTCTGTGTATCTGACTTTGCAATAAAAACAAACAAAAAAAAAGTTCCTAGGAAAAGAATTACATTTTTCGCTTGCTATTTGTCCTTCAAAAGGCCAAGCAGGCCAAGCAGAGGATAGGTACAGTGGTTTTGAGGTCAAACAGAAAGTACATGTGCCAGATACACTCAACAAATTAGTGGAGAAGACCTGGGGATACCCACCTCCGCCTTGATGTAAATCGGGACAAAGACCCAACCTAGCAGAAGCAGCAGCAATATGGCCTACAGGAAATCAAGACAAGAGCACAGTTAGGGAGACTCAGCCTGTGGCCCTTATCATTCCATGATGACCTCTAAGTCTGAACAAAAAAGTTCAATGATATTCTGTCCCGTTCCAGAAAATTGTGATACCCAGCGAATGTGGACCCTGTGTTCCCGTGTTTCTAGGGCTCAGACACCACCATTTGCTAGGACTTAGGAGATGACAGATGTGTAATGAAATGGTCCTTAGAGATACGATCCCAGAAGGAAAACTGCAAGATCACACTTTCCTTACTGAAAAAATAATATTCTCCAGTGCCAAGAAATGCAATTGAGAGTACTCCGTAAAGCATGTGGCAAAATAGATGAAAACAAGTTTATTTTTGGTATAAAACTAGTTTTTGTACTCCATGCATGGTCTTTTCCCTTTGACGCATATTGGCTGACAAACTTAGATGTAAAACCTTTTTGAGATCAACGCATAGTCCTGGTACTATCTAACTCTTGTTATGTGCAATAATGATAATAATATCATCATGCATTAATGAGTCACGTAGACCAAGGCTGCTGATCACTTAGGCTGCTCCAAGTGTGAGCCAGGTGAGGCAGGTGTGAGCAGTAGTTACTCTTGTCTTCCAGAGGCACGGGAGCCTATTAGTGATGAAGGAAGCCCCAGATGACAGGCTGAAAGAGGAGCCGGAGTGTCACACCCATTGTGCTCCCTGTCATTCTGCCCATGCCTCTGAAAGATGGCTTCACTCTGGAATCCATGGCTCTCTCATAAGAACACTCAGGCTACAGTGCTTATCTGGAGTTTAGGACTCTAACGCAGTTCCTGATTCAACTAAAGTAAAGCGCAAGCATCATCTTTACCTACAGAGGGGAAGATCACTTCCTGAGTCTATCCGGGAGTAGTATATTTAAATTTTCAACATGATACAGTTTCTTCCTTAAGCATACCTCATACGGGCCCGGCGCGGTGGCGCAAGTGGTTAAAGGTCCTCGCCTTGCACGCCCGGGATCCCATATGGGCGCCGGTTCTAATCCCGGCAGCCCCGCTTCCCTTCCAGCTCCCTGCCTGTGGCCTGGGAAAGCAGTCGAGGACGGCCCAAAGCCTTGGGAACCTGCACCCACGTGGGAGACCCAGAAGAGGCTCCTGGCTTTGGACCAGCATAGCATTGGCCCGTTGCGCTCACTTGGGGAGTGAATCATCGGACGGAAGATCTTCCTCTCTGTCTCTCCTCTCTGTATATCTGTATATCCGCCTTTCCAATAAAAAATAATAAAAATAAATCTTTAAAAAAAAAAAAAAGCATACCTCATACGTACGCATGGGCATGAAGGTTAAAAAGAATAATAGAAAAAACTATGGAAACTCAACAATTGTTTATGACATATTTACTACATGTCCAGCCATGTGCTGGATGAAGGGCAGGTAGGAGGGGAAGGTGGGACCTGGTCCTTACAAGACATAGACTATGATAAAAGTGACACAGATTCTATGAATGAAATCGTGATAAAACAACTAGGAATCCAAACACGTCTCATAGATTCTAGCTATGACTTCTCAAAATTGTTCATTTTTCACTCTGCTGTGTCTCAAAGATTTACTTATTTTATTTAAAAAACAGAGTTACAGAAAGAGAGAAGGAAAGAGAGAGAGAAAGAGATCAAAAACCAAGAGCCAGGCAGATGCTCCAAGTCTCCCACATGGGTTCAGGGATCCAAGCGCGTGCACTGCTCAGGTGCAATAGCAAGGAGTTGGGTCAGAAATGGAGCAGCTGGGACTCAAACCTGTGTCTATATGTATGGGATGCTGTGCCACAGGTGGAGGCTTAGCCTCTACATCATGGCAACAACTCCACCCTGTTGATCAGCACTGCCTCCCTCTGTTCACACACGCCTGGACATGTTCTACTCATCCTTCTGGCACCACCCCAGGAAGCTCCCTCCCCAGGTGATAAACCTCTCCAAGTCTCTGGGAGGGATGACTTCCTGTGGGATTTCTCAGTACTCTGTGTATGCACCATTCTACTGAGATGTACACACCATTCTACTGAGATGTGAGTTTCTGAAAAGCAGGGACCCTTGCTGCTCTTGGCAATGTTTTAATTCCTTGCTTCTGATTCAGGGATAGTGTCTCCAGGGAGAGTTCAAAATGAGAGTTAAAATGGCCAAGCAGGTCAAATGACAATGGTGATGGAATCACACACAATGACATTCCTGCTGGGAATAATGGTTTGAAAACACCTCGAAGGTGAGAAAAAATGTGTTCGAAATATTCTAGGTGGAATGGGGTCACAGAGGAACTGAAGGTCAAATAAAGGGTCGACTGGGAGAAGGAAAACAGAATCACAGCAAAAACATTTGATTACATTTCTAGAAACATCTGTGATATAGGCTTGACTGAAAGGAGCAAGGCTATGCATGGCGTCACTTACGTTCCATTCAAATGTCGCAACACCAATTCCCGAAGCTGCTCCTGTCCCAGCCAGCCCCACAAAGTGGTTGCTGCTAATGTTACTGGCGAAGAGAGAGGCACCGATCTGGAATCAAAGAGAACAGACTAAGACTGGCATTAAAGGATGCAAATCGGACTTCCTGAAACAGAGAAATGCCGAGATGCTCTTTGAGAACAGCCACTGTTGGCAGCTCATGGTCAAAATCCAGCCCATCACTGATGCTGCATGGCTGAGAAAGAATTCCATTTCATAGTTTAAGTGATTAAAATAATGAGGAATATATAAAAATATAATGATTTGTGAAATTACCTAAAATGAACATTGCAGTGTGCATAAATTGTTTTGTTGGAACACCTGTTCTCATGATTGATGAGACATTATGCCTTACTGAAGTTAAAGAACATGGATATGAATTAAAGAAATGAAAAACGAGCTGTGCAGTTAGTCAACCTGTGTATAACAGCATTCCCAGTGTCTATTTCTCATTTAAAAAGCAAGGGAAGGATGAGAGAGAGAGAAAGCGCTCTTTCATTCACTAGTTCAGATCCCAAAAGCCAGCACTGGGCCAAGTTGAAGCCAAGCATCAGGAATTCCACACCTGGTGTGGTTCCAGCACCTGAGCCATCTTCAGCTGCCTTCTCAGGTGCATTAGCAGGGAGCTGGATTGAAAGTAGAGCAGCCAGGACTCCTCTCTGTTATGAGCTACTGATGTTGCAAGTGTTGGCCTAACTTGCTGAGCCCCACTATTCCCTTTGAAACACAAACAGGAAATTCTGTTTCTTTTTAGAAAAAGTCTGAACCACTCACCGGCCACCAGGCCACATCTCGACCAGCCAGGAAGAATTCTCTCACAGTGCCCCGGTTCGTCTTCAGTGTTGCCTGAGAAGAAAGAAGGTGAGAGTCCAATAGCAGGTGCACCCAATATGTAAAAGAACCCACTCCTCCAGAGGCTCCGGCCACGGTTCTGAAATGGTGACTTCCTCAACTCTCCTACAGAAAAAAATTTTTTTTCCTCCAGAAACTGTAGAAGTAGGATGAGTTATTTGAAGACCTTTATAAGCATGGTTTTATAAAAACCCAGACCTGGACAAATTTGATGACAGTATTCACAATGTGTCCTAACTTCTCAGTTTATTTTCGTTAGTGTAAATGGAATGAGGTATCATGAAAGCTGAGATTGGTTGCAGACTTGGATTCATAAACCACATGCTGAGAAACAACAAAGGAAAATCAATATAATTAGACGACAAAAAGTCATGTATGTTATGCTAAGCTCTGGAGCTGCCCAGTCTAAAGTTCCTAGTGTTGACTTTATTCAAATGATGAGATGGCAAGGAGCAAAAACCCACCCAGCCAAAGCAGTGTTTGTATCAAGGACAAGGAAATATTTAGATAAAGACACCCGTGCACATTGTTAACCTTGTCTTAGATTTATTTACCATACCATACTTCTCCCTAAGACCCTCTGCTCTTCCCTACCCTTGTACCCATCCTGAGACCCCCATGAACTTTCACATACCCACAGCCCAACGACCATCACTACTACGAAATAGATGACGAGGACAGAGATGTCAGCAGCATTTTGGATGCGTTCTGATAGTGGAGGTGGCTCTGGGGTCCCAGTTGTGGTGCTGGGGCTTAATGTGCTGGCCATGGCTTGCAGGTGGCGCTGTTTGCACACTAAAGAGGACCTCTTTTATAGATAGGCCCTGGGTTAATGATCAGCATTAGGCAGGTGTGGTGAGATATCAGGGTCTATTTCTGGGCCTGGGGACCTTTAAACTCTCTCCTTGGAATCCAGGCTCTGGGACCCTGGCCCTCTAGCTATCAGTGCTGGCCTAGCAGAATGTGAAAGTGAAGGATGAAGAGTCAGCAATGACCTGAGAATTGATTGGAGAGGGAGAGTGGGGTTTCCTTGAATGGAAACACAGGGCATTAAGGAGATGGGAGTGGGTCAGTGAGGACTAGAGACGGACGGAGGGAGCACGGGGAGTGAAGAAGCACAGAAATGAAGGGTCAAGATAGAAAGTTACGTGAATCATACCTGTTACGGGCTTAGGAGGCTATTCGAGTGGACTTCACGTGACACGTCAGGACCATGGCCGGTCACCCAAAAAGAGAAGTGTCTCCATGACTGTGGAGCGTTGAGGACATACGATGGTGATTTGTGACTCTTACAGCAGCCTACATGTAGAAGTTTTGTGCCTACCACATCTTTGCCAATATTTAAAAACAATATCCACTCACCCATATTCATAGGTATGAATTGATCTTGCTATTGATCTACATTTCATAGCTGGGACATGAATGGAGCCCTTATGGGATATCAGCAATGCAGGCAGAGGCTCAGTCTGCAATGCCATGTCACAGGGCACAACCTTCAAAGGTAATACATTTTACTATTTTTAGCTATTGAAATTTAGATCAACCTGATATATATAGACTATAAGCAGTGTCTGGTACTATGTTACTTCTTAAAACATTTTAGAAGATTTGTTTGAAAGCCAGGGTAAATGAGGAAGGTGGAGATTCCTGAGCCTATGGAACTGTATCGTGATACATAAAAAACTAAAAATAATTTTAAAATATTTTAAAAAGAAAAAAAGGCAGAGTTAAAAGAGGGGAAGAGACAGAGACACAGACAGTTCTTCCATTTATGGGTTCATCCCCAAATAGATGAAATGGCTCAGACTGGGCCAAGTAGAAGCCAGAAGCCAGCAACTCTATCTTAGTCTATCAGATATGCAGCAAGGGCCCAAGAATTAGGATCATATTCCACTGAAATCCTAGGTTCATGGATAGGGAACTGTGTCAGAAGTGAAACTTCTGGGACTTGAACCACTATTTATATGGGATGGAAGCATTCGGCGTGAGCTCCGCCCACTGTGTGTCCACGATGCCTCCTTATACCCATTTTTAGCAGCAGACGTTAAGTCTAGTGGTTTAAGGCAACCATTTTTCACATCAGAAGAGCTGGTTTTCATTTGCATCGTTGGGAAATGAATGGGAGGCAATAGAGTCTGCATTTTCACTCGCTTCATGCTGAAGGGTAGCATGTCATCCCTGGGACATGTCGGCAGGAAGGAAGTCACGGTGGTCGTGGCTCCAAAGGCCATGGCTGTGGGTGTGCCACCAGTGGGCATGGCTGTGGGTGTACCACCAATAGGCATCATCAGAGGGTTTCAACAGGTCGTCTTGGTGGTCACAGAATCTCCACACGGTCCTACCTCAGCATTACCAAGTGTAATCTCACCTCCCCTCCAGGAGGCGGTTCAAACATGGCTTCAGATGATTCCCAGAAAAAAAGATAATAAAAGTAGGAACACTGGAGTGGCCCATAAAACGGAGAAACCTCAAATGTGTAACCAACTTCTCCCTCACCTGAACTCAGATATCAGATGCCTTATGCGCCATGGAGTACCTCTCTTCTAGCCTGTTTTAAAGGCATGTGGCCCTGTGAACTCTCCATGGACCTGTCCTTATGGCACTGATTGACTATGAAATCTGATTGCATTTCCCCAGATTCACACCCACCATGATCCTTTCTTCTCTCCACAGAGTGCTTGCTTGCTTGGATCTTCTCGTGGTGAAACATCCCTCTTTCATCTCATTCTTCCTGGGATAGCCCTCACTCCCCTAAACAAAGTGATTCAAAATGTTGGAAACTCAGTGGTGGCCCACAGCAGGTCCTCCTGGACACGTAGGTTTAAATCTCCAGTGATCACAGGACGTTGTACTGAGAACAACCCCAGACTGGTGAATGGCAATGTCAAGGGTGAGAACTGGGAAGTGGCTGAGCACCAGTGATTTCCACCAGGAGGCGCTGTCGTCTAGGAAATAGATACTTTGGTGAGCTGTTTCCCTCACCCCTAGCAGGTGGTGTTCCTGTGCCCTCAAGGGAACAAAAACAACCTCCCCATACCCTACCCCGACAGGCATGGATGTCATGTTCTCATTGGAGACTAAGAGGAAATAAAAGGAGGGGCTTGCCACAATCTCCAGAAGGGTAGAAATTTGCATGGAGCCCTCCCACCCTCAGAAGCAGGGGACACATAAGAAGGCTTGGTGTGCAGCAGGCTGGCTGTGGGTGTGAGGCAGCAGAGGCTTGTGTGTGTCCACCATGGCCTGGACCGTGCTCCTCCTCGCCCTTCTTGCTCACTGCGCAGGTGGCTTCCTGCAGGAGTGTTCTGGCGGGAGGTGCTGCTGGCTGTCCATGAAGATGGGTCATGCCCATCCTCACTGATCTCTGACTTTTCTCTTGCAGGTTCCTGGGCCCAGGTTGTGTTCACTCAGCCTCAGTCTGTGTCGGGGTCACTGGGGGAGACGGTCTCCATTTCGTGCACACGCAGCAGTGGTAGCATTTGGGAATACGCTGTGCACTGGTACCAGCAGCTCCCAGGCAGGGCTCCCACACTCGTGATCTATGATGATGATCAGAGAGCCTCGGGGGTTCCTGAGCGGTTCTCTGGCTCCACCGACAGCTCGTCCAACTCTGCCTCCCTGACCATCTCTGGGCTGCAGGCTGAGGATGAGGCTGACTACTTCTGTCAGTCTATTGCTAGCACTGGTAATTGCACAGTGCTCCAGCCCCACGGGGAAGTGAGACAAAAACTCCCTGAGCAAACAGCCCTGCTTCTACCCTCTACCTGTAAACCTACCCCCAACACCAACTCCAGGAGGTTGCCTCTTTTGGGTCTCCTCTGGGCATGCTATAGTTAGAATTTTCAATTCAATTAGCTCCCTGGGTGTTTCCTCAATACAGTTATGTCTTAATACGTTTCGATGTATGATCCAAACCCTTTTTGAGCTTTCTGTGTATTTATATAGAATGTTTGGGGCCCTAGCCACAGCCACCACTGCCATACAGTGAGCAAGTCCCAGGTTTGCCTGGGCCTAAAAAATTTCTCCCTTCACGGTAGTATGCTGTGAAGGGATCTCTTGGGAACTAGGGTCGGTCCCTGGCTGCACCTGCCACTACCATCTTATGGCAAGAGGGGTCTAGGGGAGTTTGACTCAGAGCTTGGGTGTTGCAAGCTACCAGCAACGTGGCGGCTGCTGGGGGTACCTGAGCCAGGTCAGACTCAATGCTTGGTGCCCTAGCCAAGCAACTGCTGCTACACAGTGAGTGGGTCTAGGACTTTTGGGCAGCCAGCGCGCTAACTGGGAGCCGGGCTCTACCCACTGTCCACCTGGCGGCGAGCTGTGGGGTGTTAGGGGTTTGGGGTTTCTGCCTAGGGACATCCTTGGATAAAGCCATTGTGCATATAGAGAAGGAATGAATTCTGAGGGATTCCCAATGACAGGGTCACTGTACTTGCAGGTGGACTGGAGGGGAAAGACCAGAAGATCTGTATGGGTCAGACTGATACACCAGCCTACATGGGAGTCCTGAGTAGGGCTTGTTATCATGGAACAGTGCTGACCACATGCTAGTCCATGTGAAAGCTAGGACCGGGGACCTGTCTAGCAGGACTAGATGCAAGTACCTGAATGAGTGCTAATAGTAGATGTACTCACCAGTGGCTGAGTGCTGGGATCAGGGGAGGGGACTCAGGAAAACATAGGGACCTTTCTTTCCTCCATGGCATCTCATCTTGCTTTCTAGCCCCAAAGTAGTGCCCATAGCCGGGGACTCAAGTGCTTTTTTCTTGTTGAGTCCAAGGCTCATCTTTTCTTCTATGTTAGTGCCTTGGTCAGTTCACCACCCTCAGTGACAACAACACCCTCAGATGTCATCGCATGTGTGTTACCAGCTCTTCATGAAAGTTCCCAATAACAGCGCTAGTTTTGAAACTCTCAGGCCCTCAGGGACTGGAGATGGATTCTCTCTCTGCCTGACAACCATTGTATCTTGTGGATTACCTGTGGTAGATGATTATCATTGCAAATCTGACAAAGACCTCAATGTATGCACCCTGCTCACTCTGTGTGTGTGTGTGTGTGTGTGTGCACGCGCACACACGTGTGTGTACAAAACCAGGACATATGCAGACAGAAATCCATTCTCCGGGTACTCCTTAACTGCCATCACCACTGACCTGTGATTGATGGCATGGCCTTCATGAGTGTTGCTGGTGACAATTGTCTGATGTGCACCTCAGAAGCTCAGGTGTGTACATTTGTTGCAACCTAACAGAGATGAGTTTGAGCTGTGGTGAGACTTGGTGTGGTTGGTTCCATTGGGAAGCCAGTAGACTCATAGGGGGAGTGTCCTTGCAGAAGTTTAATGAGGACCTCATAGGACTCTGGCTAAGCCCCTGTGTATGAAGTTGTCTCCTGCGTCTCATGTTGCCTCCATGCCTTTGCCGTGGGCTCCCTGCCACCCAGGCTCCTGCCAGGCTACATCCATCCTTCCATCCTGACTCCTCACCAGAGGCTGCACCAAGGGATGGCCCACTCTTAGATTCAGTCTTCAAAAGCACAAAGTGAAAGGAACCTGTTTTCTGGAGTTTGCCTCTCAGGCATTAAGTTACAGAAATGGGAAGCAGACTCTGGGTGATTCTTTTGATGCAAGAAGAAGTCTTCTTTTGTGGCAAGCCAAGGTTTAGAGTGAGCCATTGTTAATGGGAATACTGTACCTATTCTTGTAACATGCATGGAGCTCCTTGTCCGGCTCAGGATGTCTCTTGAGAGATGATGATGGGGCCAAGGGGTGGCTGCTTCCATCATGGCAGAACAGATGATGGATTGGCCACCGCAGCAGGATCTGTCAGAAAGTGGATTTCTTGCCACCGGCAAAGGCTTGCCCATATCTTCCTCATTCACTGACTGCTGCCTCTTGTTCAATCCTGAGGTTCCTGCTGAAGCACATGGTGCATGGCATGGACCTCTGCTTTCCATGCTGCAAACTATACTGCAGATATACAGTGCGATCCAATGTAAATGTCTTAACTTAGAAAGATACACACACTGGGCCCGGCACTATAGTGTAGTGGTTAAAGTCCTTGCTTTGCACACCCAAGATCCCATATAGTTGCCAGTTCTAATCCTGGTGGCCCTGCTTCCCATCCAGTTCCCTGCTTGTAGCCTGGGAAAGCAGTTGAGGAAGGCCCAAAGCCTTGGGGCCTTGCACCCATGTGGGGGACCTGGAAGAGCTCCTGGCTTTGTATTGGCTCAACTCCAGCCGTTGCGGTCACTTGGGGAGTGAACCGTCAGGTGGAAGATCTTCCTCTCTGTCTCTCCTCCTCTGTATATGTGACTTGCCAATAAAAAAAAAAAAAATGAATATTTTAAAAAAAAAAAAGAAAGATACGCACATATATTGGGGTGCACTGGATTTACTGTCACCAATGATTTGTGAATATCATATGAGTGAAGCTTTTTCTTGACTGCTCTGCTTGGAAGTCAACTTCTTGTTTATGTCTGGGAAAGTACCAGAAGATGGTACAAGTATTTGGGGGTGCTGAAAGGATGTGGGAGACCTGGATGAGATGAAGCACCTCATTCCTGGCTTTATGCTAGCCCAGCCCTGGTCATTGTGGCTGTTTGGGAGTGAATCCGTGCATGGAAATAACAAGAGCACATAGAGCAGTAGAAACATTTTCACGGACAAAGTGGCACCCGTTGAGATTAGGTGATGTTACCTCGCTGGTGGCTGCCTAACTCTTGCGATCTGCACACCTGTAACATCAGCATTCCACAGACAGCACCAAGCCTGCTGCAGGAGCTGTGACTGGGCCAGCTTGAGTCCCAGCTGCAGTCAACTGAAAGGTCAGTCTTGCCAGCTGACTCCTGAGAGTGACTTTGGGCAGCAAGCCCATGTGGAGCACCCTGGGGCCTCCATGTCACAAAGGTCTCTGTGCCTGTGATGGGGAGAGCCACCCTGTAGAGTTCTGAGATGCCCATTGTCTCAGTGCAGAGCAACTGTCCCTGTGTTTCATTCACACAGGTCTAGGGAATCTTCTGTAGCCTTGTAGGGTTTCTCTCCCAGCCTCTTTCAAAGTCATTGGGTCCGGTGAATCCTCCATGGCCAGGTCCATTTCAGAACTTTATGGCAATTATTGATTTGAGATCTGATTAGGGTTCCCCAGATTCACATTCACCTGACCCCTTTCTTCTCTCTGCAGAGACTTTGTGAGGCTGGATCTTCTTGTGTTACCAGAAAAACAAAACAAAACTAAACAAAACAAAAAAACAAAAATACCTATTCCTCTCATTCTTGAGCTGATATTCGTAGTTCCCCCACACGAGGTGATTCAGTTGTCTGACTTTAGCGGTGGCACAGAGCCTGTCTCTGTGGACAAGAAAGTTTAAACCTTCAGCAAGTACAACATGCTGCCTGAGAACACCCCAGCTAGTGAATGGAAATGTCAGGAATGAGAACGGGGAAGCAAAGAACATGATCACCAGCGCCATCCACCAGGAGGCGCTGTCGGCCGCGCACTTGGCTGTTGCTTGAGTTTCTCAGCTCTTTCCTCACCCACAGCAGGTGGTGATCACGTGCCCTCAGGAGAGAAAACAACAGCCTCTTGGACAGAATCTTGTTCTCAGCTGGAGCCCAAGAGGAAGTTAAACAAAGGTCCGTGACAGCCTGCAGGGGGGCAGAGATTTGCATGGAGCTCTCCCACCCTCAGGATCAGGGGACACATAAGAAAGCTTGGTGTGCAGGAGGCTGGCTGTGGGTGTGAGGCAGCAGAGGCTTGTGTGTGTCCACCATGGCCTGGACCGTGCTCCTCCTCGCCCTTCTTGCTCACTGCGCAGGTGGCTTCCTGCAGGACATCCGTCGGGGGCGGGGGGCGGTGCTGGACGTGACTGTGCTGTGTGATCTCTTTCTCACAACGAGGAAAAGAGAGAGAGAAAAATAGAGAGGTTCTTCCATCCCCTGAAATTCCCCAATGGCAACAATGATGAGAGTGGTGCCAGGCCAAAGCCAGAAACGGGCGGTTTTATCGTGCTCTCCCATCTGGTGCCAGCATCCCAGCTACTGACACCATCTTCTGCTACTTTCCAGGCACAAAAACAGAAAGCTAAATTTCCTAGTGGAGCAATCAAGACCAGAACCAGCAGGCACATGAGATGTCCAAATAGCAGGTGAAATTGAACCCACATGAATTTCGAAGTGGGTTGGGAAACCCAGGTTCTCAGGCCATCATCTGCAGACCCTAAGGGGATCATCAGTGCACACACACATTCTGAAGAAGAAACACCAGCAGACAGCCCAGTCCATCCAGCAAGCAGACAGCAGCCAGGCCAGCTAGAGGTCCTGGTGACACGCACCCACTTCGGCCCAGCAGCAGCCACATGGCCCGGCTCACAGGGAGCCCCTCAACATGCTGGAGCCTCTGTCTGTGGATGGGATGATGTGTTGGCTTCTGCCAAATGCTCAGACACCACAGCAAAGCCAGACGAGCAAGCAGCAAGCAGACACACATGGCACACACACACACACACACACAGGCTAAGAAGCTCCAGTTAGTAACACACAAACCTGCAGAGCCACGAATACACTAACAAACTCAGAATACTAACCTTCCATAAAACCAGTGAGAGGAAAAGAAAACAGAATCAAGTGAAGCTGGGAAAACAATTTTTGAAAGAAAAATCATTTCACAAAGGTGCACATTGACACAAAAATAGAGAGGAAGAAATTCTGGAAATGAGCTCAATGTCCCTGTTTTGAAGCAAAACTTTTCCAGAAAGAGATCAGATCATGCCTCAAAACATGTGAAGGGAATTTTGCATCTGCACGTGGGCAGAAAGAAGAAGCTAAAGCAAATTTCTGCTCATACATGCAACAAGGACACCCAAAAGTGCCACCCTCACTAATGGAGAACAGATGACAGGAGACGAAGAGTGGGCTGCCTGGGTGAGTTTTTGTCTCACTTCCCCGTAGGGCTGGAGCACTGTGTAACTACCACTATCATAAGACTGACAGAAGTAGTCAGCCTCGTCCTCAGCCTGCAGCCCAGAGATGGTCAGGGAGGCAGAGTTGGACGAGCTGTCGATGGAGCCAGAGAACCGCTCAGGAACCCCCGAGGCTCTCTGATCATCATCATAGATCACGAGTGTGGGAGCCCTGCCTGGGAGCTGCTGGTACCAGGACACATATGCATCGTTAATGTCACCACTGCTGGGGGTGCAGGAAATGGAGACCGTCTCCCCCAGTGACCCCGACACAGACTGAGGCTGAGTGAACACAACCTGGGCCCAGGAACCTGCAAGAGAAAAGTCAGAGATCAGTGAGGATGGGCATGACCCATCTTCATGGACAGCCAGCAGCACCTCCCGCCAGAACACTCCTGCAGGAAGCCACCTGCGCAGTGAGCAAGAAGGGCGAGGAGGAGCACGGTCCAGGCCATGGTGGACACACACAAGCCTCTGCTGCCTCACACCCACAGCCAGCCTGCTGCACACCAAGCCTTCTTATGTGTCCCCTGCTTCTGAGGGTGGGAGGGCTCCATGCAAATCTCTGCCTTTTGTGGGCTGTCACAGACCTTTGCTTAACTTCCTCTTGGGCACCAGTTGAGAACAAGATTCTGTCCAGGAGACTGTGTTTCCAGGACATCTGTTTGATCTGGATTTTTTCTTCTTGCTGGGTGGACTGGCCTGTTTGTGGGTATTTTCCTTGGAGTGTAGATACTGGAGTAAGAGTTAGCTTAAGGGTCTGCAGATGGCATCGTGGCAAGCCTAATCTCCCAACCTTCACTCTCCAGTAATATAGCCACCGAAAGAGAGTCAGGGGACACTGTGTTTAGGGAGAATTCTCAACACAAGAAAGGATGTGTTGTGTGAAGTCGGTTAGCTCTTGGTGAGGAGTTCCAGAGTGCAGGAGCCCTGTCATTTGTGTAGGGTTGCTGTGCAGCAGGCAATGCACCCAGAGACACTCTCCCTTCTTAGGCAGCCACTTATCTCACTTGCTGGTTATTGTCATGGCCCATCCTAACATCATCTGTCCCCTGTTCCGACTCTCCCTGGTGGGTAATGTGATCTTGCAATGCCTAGTAGTCCCCAGCCTTAGCTTAAGTGTATGCTAGTGAATGGCGCCTCAGTGATGGTCTATGCAAACAACCCCAGTTCAGGTCTCCCACGTGTGTTGGTCCATCAGTTTGACCCTTAAAGGCTGTCCTGTTCCTCCATCCAAGCCATTTGGTCTCAGCCCCTCACACACCTACACATACGGTAGCCTTATCTATGAAAGTCCCTCAGCAGTAATTCTTCACCTGGGTATGAACCCTCAGGTCATCACTCACCCACAGCTCTGTGATCCCCCAAATGCCCTGCAAATCCATAAGTTCAAGTGCCCTGGCAGGTCGAGCTAGGGCAATGCCCAGTGGCATTGGCACCGGAGCCACGCAGGGCAGCTGTCTGACCCGGTAGGGAGAGTCCCCAGCCCCAGCATAAAGCCGGAGCTGCCCGAGGCTACCACCTCCCACCTCTCCTTTCTATCATATGATATTTGGTGTGATCCAATGTAAAGGGTCTTTTTGTCTCAGAAGTTCAAACACACAGACACATGCTGTGTAATAATCTGAGAAACAGACCCTCTTCATGGCTTTATGAGGCATCATGGCAGCGACTGCAGTGCCTGAGGTAGCCCCCATTGATGGGATGCATGACCAGCTATGCAGAGTCTTCTAGACTCTTTCAAAAACAGTCGAAACTGTGGATTCTCCACGGCCATGTCTTACGTCACACCTTTATGGCACTTATCTTATTGATGATGAGGTCTGATCAAGTTTTTTTTTTTTTTAGAATCCTGCCCACCCTGAGCCTTTCCACTCTCTTAAATTGTGCCTGTTTGGATCTTCTCGTGGTGAAATCTCCTTTTCCTCCCATCCTTGCTGTGAAATCCATCATCTTCTAAAAATAGAGTGATCAGAATGCCAGAACTTCAGAGATGGTGCAGACTTTGTAGGATGGTTAGGAAGGTTTAAATCTATGGTAAGCACAGATTGGGGTGCAGAAAAAAAAAACACCAAAAAAACCCGCAGCTTCTGAATTTAAAAATCAAGGGTGAGGATATGGAAAAAAGGAGGCCCGAGCACCACTGCCTTCCACCAGGGGGCGCTGTCGCAATGAACCTACTGTTGCTTGGCACTTGGCTGTTTCTCTCGCCCCTAGCAGCAGGTGGTATATCTGTGCCCTCACGGGAGCAAACAAAGGCCTCCTATGCTGACCTTCTGTTCTCATTGGAGACTAAACAAATGTTCAAAGAGGGCTTGTCATAGCCACCAAAGGGCAGAGATTTGCATGGAGCCCTCCCACCCTCAGAAGCAGGGGACACATAAGAAGGCTTGGTGTGCAGGAGGCTGGCTGTGGGTGTGAGGCAGCAGAGGCTTGTGTGTGTCCACCATGGCCTGGACCGTGCTCCTCCTCGCCCTTCTTGCTCACTGCGCAGGTGGCTTCCTGCAGGAGTGTTCTGGCGGGAGGTGCTGCTGGCTCTTCATGAAGATGGGTCATGCCCATCCTCACTGATCTCTGTCTGACTTTTCTCTTGCAGGTTCCTGGGCCCAGTTTGTGCTTTCTCAGCCTCAGTCTAAGTCAGGGTCACTGGGGGAGACGGTCTCCATTTCCTGCAGCCGCAATGGTGGTGGCATTGGGAGTTATTTTGTATCCTGGTACCAGCAGCTCCCAGGCAAAGCACCCACCACAGTGATCTATAAGAATGATCAGAGGCCCTTGGGGGTTCCTGAGCGGTTCTCTGGCTCCATCGACAAGTCGTCCAACTCTGCCTCCCTGACCATCTCTGGGCTGCAGGCTGAGGACGAGGCTGACTACTACTGTCAGTCGTATGATGACAGTGTTCATCCCACAGTGCTCCAGCCCCACGGGGAAGTGAGACAAAAACTCACCCAGGCACCCTACTCTTGGTCTGTCCTCCACATGTCCCCATCAGGGAGGGTTGCCCTTTCAGCTGTCTTTCTTGCTTGCATGGGTTGCAATTTGCCATTAAAAATTCCTTTAGTTTACCCTCCCTGACCCTGCACAGATACAAATTTCCTTTCACATGTTTTGATGCATGATCTGATCTGTTTCTCGAAAAGATTTATTTCAAAACAAGAAAATTGGATTTTTTAATATTTGTTCCTCTATGATTACATTTTTGTCAATGTATATATATTTTTTAAATTATTTAAATTATTTTGCTCAAAAGTTGTTTTCCCAGCTTCACTTGATTCTGTTTTCTTTTCCTCTCACTCACTGGCTTTGTGGAAGGTTAGTATTTGAGTTTGTTAGTGTATTCGTGGCTCTGCAGGTTTGTGTGTTACTAACTGGAGCTTCTTAGCCTGTGTGTGTATGTGCCATGTGTGTCTGCTTGCTGCTTGCTCGTCTGGCTTTGCTGTGGTGTCTGAGCATTTGGCAGAAGCCAACACATCATCCCATCCACAGACAGAGGCTCCAGCATGTTGAGGGGCTCCCTGTGAGCCGGGCCATGTGGCTGCTGCTGGTCGAAGTGGGTGTGTGGCACCAGGACCTCTAGCTGGCCTGGATGCTGTCTGCTTGCTGGATGGACTGGGCTGTCTGCTGGTGTTTCTTTTTCAGAATGTGTGTGTGCACTGATGATCCCCTTAGGGTCTGCAGACGATGGCCTGAGAACCTGGGTTTCCTGGCACACTTCTCAACTCACGTGTGTTCAGTGTCACCTGCTATTTGGGCATCTCATGTGTCTGCTGGTTCTGGTCTTGATTGCTCCACTAGGAAATCCAGCTTCCTATTTCTGTGTCTGGTAAAGTAGCAGAAGATGGTGTCAGTAGCTGGGCTCTTTGCCACAAGATGGGAAGCACTCACTTCTGGCTTTGGCACAGCCCTTGTCGTTGCAGCTGTTGGGAAGTCATCAGAATGTGGAAGAACCTTTCTCTACTTTTTTTTCTCTATCCTTCTTCCCATGTTTACATTTACAAATAAATAAAACCAAAATAGGCAAGAATGTGTTTATGTAAAATTTCAAATTAAATGTTTGCTTACCTTAACATTAAAAATAAAAGCCCATAGAAATGCAGTCTTCCGGGACCTGGGGAGGGTGGGAAATTGGGTGGACCTTCTCCCTTAATGCCCCCTTTTAAACATGAAGGAAACAATATGGAAAAAAATAATAGTCTTACCCACTTTCCCGTAGCCCTTGAAACTTTTTACCCTAATTAACTATGTAAAGATTGTCAAAATATAATAATAATAATAAAAGAAATGCAGTCTTGTAACTGTTTTTTATTTGGGCCACTGTCATGAACAAGTAGCCTCAGCTTCTGCATTGGAGCCAATATTCCATATGGTTTCTGGTTTCTGTTCTGCCTACTCCACGTCCTCTCCAGTTCTCTGCCGGTGACTGGGAAAGCAGCAGAGTTTGGCCCCAGTGACTGTGTGCCTGAATTTACAAGGAAGCTCCTGACTTCTGGCTTTGGATGAGTCCAATTGTAGCCATTGCAGCTATGATTACAGGGAGTGTGGTTGGACAGAATGCTCACCGACACCTCCCTGGGGGCTCCATGAATCTCTCCTGCCCTGGAAGGTCTCTGGGCCTGCAATGGGATGAGGCACCTTGCACCATACTGCAATGCCCATTGCCTCAGCATGAAGTAACCCGCTGTCTTTCCTCTGCACGGGTGTGGTGGTTCCTCTGCTGTACCCTCACTCAGCTTTGATTTCCTCCTTTCCTGGTCAGGTTAGCACGATTCCAGCTTTCCTGTTGTTCTCTGATATTCAGTGTGTCTGCTGGCTTTGGGTAATGCCTTTGCTCAGCAATCTACTCTACATGACTAAAGGCACCAAGCAGCAGCCTGAATGTGACACCTCAGTTGATTTCCTCTTTGAACGTGCCCACTTGAAATGCAGAGTGAAAGAGTGAGAGCAAGGAAGTAGATGACATTGAGAGGAACAGAGCTTTCTCCCATTGGCTTGTTTTGGTGTCCAGGTCCCTGTAAGAATTGGAGTTGGGCCCGGCTGTCAGCGGGAGCCCAGCATCCAATCCACATCTCCAACACATGTGGCAGGCTCAGCCACCTCTCTTCCGGAGTGTGCATCTGCACGAAGCTGGAATTGGTGTTTTCTGTTTCTTTTACTCCTGTGCCCTCAGGAGAGAAAACAAAAGCTTCCCGCAACTCAACTCTGACAACACGGAAGTTTGTGCTCTTTTAACTGGTCCACAGAATGGAGAAACCTCATTTGCATGTTGACATATCTCCCGATGGCACACATAGATGGGATGCAGAGCAGACAAGCAGTAGTCTTTCTCTCCTGGCCTCTTTCAAAGTCATCGGGTCGTATGGACGCTCCCTAGCCGTGTCCTATTTCAGACTTTATGGCCCTTATTGATGATGAGATCTGATTCAATTTTTTTAGAGTCACTCCCATCCTGAGTCTTTCCTCTCTCCATAGTCTTTGGTCATATGTTCTCCAAAAATCTTCTTTCCTCTCATTGTTGCTGTGATAGCCATCATTTCCCCGAACACAAAGTGTATCAAAACGCCTGAACCTCAGTGGTGGCACAGAGCCAATAGGATGGTTATGACAGTTTATGATCCGGTGCTCACAGGATGGGGTGCAGAGAACCACCAGCAGGTGAATGGAAATGTCAGGAATGAGAACTGGGAAGGAAAGAGCCTGAGCACACGGCCATCCACCAGGGGGCGCTGTCAGCTAAGCGCTTGGCTGATGTTTGCGTTTTTCAGCTGTTTCCCTTATTCTTAGCAGGTGGTGTTCCACTGTCCTCATGGGAGGAAACAACAAACTGGACCACAGAATCTTATTCTCAGCTGGAGCCCAAGAGGATTTTAAATGAGAGGCTGGTGACAGACTGCGGGAGGGCAGAGATTTGCATGGAGCCCTCCCACCCTCAGAAGCAGGGGACACATAAGAAGGCTTGGTGTGCAGGAGGCTGGCTGTGGGTGTGAGACAGCAGAGGCTTGTGTGTGTCCACCATGGCCTGGACCGTGCTCCTCCTCGCCCTTCTTGCTCACTGCGCAGGTGGCTTCCTGCAGGAGTGTTCTGGCGGGAGGTGCTGCTGGCTGTCCATGAAGATGGGTCATGCCCATCCTCACTGATCTCTGACTTTTCTCTTGCAGGTTCCTGGGCCCAGGTTGTGTTCACTCAGCCTCAGTCTGTGTTGGGGTCACTGGGGGAGACGGTCTCCATTTCCTGCACACGCAATGGTGGTGACATTACGAGTTCCTACATGTCCTGGTACCAGCAGCTCCCAGGCAGGGCACCCACACTCCTGATCTATAATGATGATCAGAGAGCCTCAGGAGTTCCTGAGCGGTTCTCTGGCTCCATCGACAGCTCGTCCAACTCTGCTTCCATGACCATCTCTGGGCTGCAGGCTGAGGACGAGGCTGACTACTACTGTCTCTCTTATGAGATGAATTATTATCCCACAGTGCTTGAACCGTATGGAGAAGTGAGACAAAGTCTCTCCAGGCCAAACCAGCGCTGCAGCTGGGCTCCGCAGCACCTGTCAGCGAAGATGCCTTTTTTGCATATGATAGTTACAACTTTCATTTAAACATATTTCTTTTTTTTTAATCCCACAGACACTAATTTCACATTACATGTTTTCATGTATGAACAGGTTGATAGAAACACAGGGTCATGAAATTCACTCTCAGAGTTTGCTCTGCTCCATCCTGTGTCAATGATGTACACATTTTTTGTGAAATTATTATGATCAGATTGTTACTCAAGCTTCATTTTCTATTTCTATTCTTTTCAAAATCTCGCTGATTTCCTGAAGATTTTAACTTTGAATGTTTCCAGGTGTTCTTCATCTCCAGGTTGTTGTGCTTTAGTTATTGGAGCTTTATTAGTATGTATGTGTGATTGTGTTAGTGTGTGTGTGTGTGTGTGTGTGTGTGTGTGTGTGTGTTTGGTGTCCTGTTTGTCTTTCTCATTATGCAGTCAACTTTACTGTGGTTGCCGAGCATCTGGCAGAAGCAAACACATCAGCCCATTCTGAGAAGCTGGCTTCAGATTGTTGAGAACTGCACCTGTGAAGCTCCCAGGCTGGTGGCATTGCCTTCCAGTCTTTAGGGTCCCATCTGCTCCACTTCCTACCAGTTCCCTGCTTATGGCCTAGGAAAGCAGAAGAGCGGCTCAAGACTTGGGTCTCTGCAAGTCTTGAGCCCAGCTAGAGTTTCAGCTGCAGAGCAGGGTGCCTTGCCAGATGATTGCCAGGAAGTGACCATGGCAAAAGCTCAGGAACCACACCATGGGCAAGGGAGTCCACTCGTCTGAGATCACTGCCTGAGTCTGTTGATGCTAGAAGAACCCTTCTTCTGATGCCAGCCATGGTCTAGAATGAGCCACACCTGACACTGACACTGCGCCTGCTCACATGTAGATGGGCAGAGTCCCTTGTCTGGTGCCTTCTATTTCCTGAGAGACAGTGATGAGGAGCAGGACCTGCTGCTTCCAGGTGTGTCAGAAAGCACGACGGACTCGGCCATGCTAGCAGGGTCTGTCTGGAATGATTTTGAGCCATGGGAAAAAGCAAACATTTCACCAAATCATTTTTGTTCATTTACTGTTGTCACATTTTGAGTCCTGAGAGTCCTGCTAAAACACGTAGCAGATGGCCTTGGGCGCACACCTCCACACTTCTCTTTTCTATCCTGCAATACAGAGTACAGATATTTGCTGTGATCTAACGTAAAGTGTCTTGTCTTTTTTCTCAGAAGTTCACACTCACACAACACACAATATTTAATAATCTGAGAAATAAACCATGATCATGGCTTTATGAGGCATCATTGCCCAGATGGCATTTGCTGTGCAAATGCAAAAGAAATTGTGGAAGTAGCAGCCCATGCACTGGCTGAGTGGGATCAGTGTAACCAGTTGGGCATCCCATATGAGCACAATTTTTTTTTTCATGGATGCTCTGCTTTGAATTCAGCTCCAGTTTATGTTCTGGAAAACTCACAAAGGATGGTAAAAATGCTTGGGATCCTGCTATCATGTGTGAAGCCTGGATGAGGCGCCTCATTCCTGGCTTTATGCTAGCCCAGCCCTGGTCATTGTGGCTGTTTGGGAGTGAATCCGTGCATGGAAATAACAAGAGCACATAGAGCAGTAGAAACATTTTCACGGACAAAGTGGCACCCATTGGGATTAGGGGATGATGTTACCTCGTTGGTGGCTGCCACAACCTCCTAACTCTTGCGATCTGCACACCTGTAACATCAGCATTCCACAGACAGCACCAAGCCTGCTGCAGGAGCTGTGACTGGGCCAGCTTGAGTCCCAGCTGCAGTCAACTGAAAGGTCAGTCTTGCCAGCTGACTCCTGAGAGTGACTTTGGGCAGCAAGCCCACGTGGAGCACCCTGGGGCCTCCATGTCACAAAGGTCTCTGTGCCTGTGATGGGGAGAGCCACCCTGTAGAGTTCTGAGATGCCCATTGTCTCAGTGCAGAGCAACTGTCCCTGTGTTATTCTCACAGGTCTAGGGATTGCTCTGTAGCACCCTTGCACACAGCCTTGAATTCCCACGTTCTTGATCAGGCTGTGATGTTTCCAAATGAACCATATCCTTATCTCCAATAGAGGAGGCAGGAGTGACCTCAGTTGCCTGTCGTGTGATTTGCTTGAAGCTAGATTTGCAAACATAGCTGGGACTCAAACTTGCCTTCAGATAATGTCAAGTCAAAACGAAATTAGGAACACCCCACTGGTGCACGACACGCAAAAAGCCCAAGTGGATATCAACCTTACCGCAAAATGACCAGTCATGTCGAGTCTCTCTCCCAGCCTCTTAAAATTGCATGTGGCCCTGTGGCCCCACCAAGGCAATGTCCTGTTATGGGCCTTTATAGAACTGATTGGCGTGAGATTTGATTAAGTTGTGCTAGATTCATACCCACTGCAACACTTTCCTCTCTCTGTAGATGTTCGCGGCTGGATGTTTTATGGGTGAAAAAAAAACCCTTTTCTCTCATTCTTGCTGTAATGCCCACCATTTCCTCCAAACAAAAAGTCATTCAAATCGCCTGAATTTCGTTGCTGGGGCAGAGAAGGCTGGCAGGGACATGAGGGTTGAAAGGCACAGCAGGCACAGGATGCTATGCACCTGTGCCATCCACCAGGGGGCGCGGTCATCTTGGGACTTGGTCCAGGTTTGGCATTTTGTAGCTGTTTCCCTTACCACTAGCAGGAGGTGTCCCTGTATCCTCAAGAGAAAACCACAGCCTCACCCTGAGAATCTTGTCCTAGTTGGAGGCCAAGAGGAAGCTAAAGGAGGGGGCCTTTGTCAGCCTGCAAAAGGGCAGAGATTTGCATGGAGCCCTCCCACCCTCAGAAGCAGGGGACACATAAGAAGGCTTGGTGTGCAGCAGGCTGGCTGTGGGTGTGAGGCAGCAGAGGCTTGTGTGTGTCCACCATGGCCTGGACCGTGCTCCTCCTCGCCCTTCTTGCTCACTGCGCAGGTGGCTTCCTGCAGGAGTGTTCTGGCGGGAGGTGCTGCTGGCTGTCCATGAAGATGGGTCATGCCCATCCTCACTGATCTCTGATTTTTCTCTTGCAGGTTCCTGGGCCCAGGTTGTGTTCACTCAGCCTCAGTCTGTGTCAGGGTCACTGGGGGAGACGGTCTCCATTTCCTGCACACGCAGCAGTGGTAACATTGGGGATGACTTTGTGCACTGGTACCAGCAGCTCCCAGGCAAAGCACCCACCACAGTGATCTATGGTGATAATCGGAGGCCCTCGGGGGTTCCTGAGCGGTTCTCTGGCTCCATCGACAGCTCGTCCAACTCTGCCTCCCTGACCATCTCTGGGCTGCAGGCTGAGGACGAGGCTGACTACTACTGTCAGTCTTATGATAGTGGTAGTTACACAGTGCTCCAGCCCTACGGGGAAGTGAGACAAAAACTCACTCAGGCACATCAGTCCTGTGTGTAAAGTCAACTGTTCTGATCAGGGAGGATACCATTTTTGGTTCTGCTTTTGCATGCTAATGTTACAATTTTTAATCAATTATTCCTTTTTTTAGTCGCACGAATGCAAATTTCCCTTCATGCGTTTTGATACATGAAGAGATTGGTAGAAACACAGGGTCATGGAATTCTTTTCCAGAGTTTGCTTACTCTCTTAAATAATTTATTTTTAATAATTCTTTTATTTTGGTAATCCATGCATAGTCGATTAGGGCACAGGGAGTCAATGGATACAGGAAAATGGATAATACCATTGTTTCCACAGTCATATTTTTTTTTCTCTATCCAGGGTAAGTGAAGAGATAAAGGTAAAAGCCCCACCCAGCCTCCCACCCTTCCCAGGGCCCCCAACGTGGGGCATGCTCTGAGGGTCCTGCTCATGCAGTTTTGATAACTCAACAGTTCTGAATTGCTGCCAATCTTGCCATTCCAAGAGTGATGAAATCTCTCTGGAATCCACTGCTGACATAGTCTCTTCATGGTTGGGGTTCTGAGATCAGCAAGGATCCCCAGAAAAACTTTGTCTGAAGTGATCCCAGACCTGATTCTTGTGTGTGCTTGCCAGTTCAGGGTTTGGCACAGTCCATCACCCCAATCAGCTTATGCATATGCTGGTCGTTGCACTTGCTGGGTCAGTTCTGTTTCCAGTCCTGTCTTCCATGCAAACTAATGGTTGTTGTAGTCCAGCCTGATCCTGTCCACTTCAGACTCAGCCCTCAAGCAAGCCAGTGGAAGCTGCAGCCTAGTTGGGATGACTCCCCATAACTTTCACTAGGCCTGCCCCCTACCCTGGTTCCCATGTATGCCAGTATGTACCGTAGACTTGTTCAGTCTGTCTCACATCCCATTTAGCTCTTGTATATGTCAATGGGCATTGAAGCCTAGTACAACCCAATCTGTCCTATTATCCAGCCCACACGCATACTGGTGGGTGTTGTTCTGTCTAGCCACCCCTGTCCTGATCCTGATATTCATGCTCTCCAGTGGCAGTGATAATTCAAGAGGAAGGCGCCCACTATTTCCATCCTAGGCCATTTCCACTCCCGGATTATGCACTCTCCAGGTGGTTCTGTGGTTTAACTTGACAGGATTAGGCTCTAGTGCCAGCCTCTGCCAGCTGATGCTGTGGCAAAGCCCATCCAACCCTCACCCTCTCTAATTTATGCTTGCACAAGTAGGAACAATCAGCCCAGCCTAACTTTTCCCTGATCTAGCTCATGTGGCCCACAGATGTTGTAGCCCTGCCTGGTCTGGTCTGCCCCATCCCAGCTCACGCTCTCCAGTGGGAATGGTGGTCCAGCAGGGGAGCCCTCCACATTCCCCCTACCGGTTTGTCCCCTGCCTCCCGGGTCTCATGTGTGTTGGTTGGGCACTGCGGCCCAGTTTGGTACAGCCCACCTCACCTTGGCATTTGCCAGTGGGTGTTGTACCCTGGCCCGGCCCAGGCCACCCCCAATTCCAACTGACACTGGTGAGGGTTATAACCTAGCCCAGTCCAGCAGGCATCCAATCCCAGCCGTAATATGTACTGGTATGTGATGTGACCATACCTGGCCCTACCCACACTCTGTTCTGGTGCTCAGATTTGTCAGTGGGTGATGTGAACTGGTTCAGCCTGGTCTGCCACCGACCTATGCCAAATGTATGCTGAGGGTACCGTTCCCTGGCCTGGTCTGGACTGCTCCCTATCAGGGTTCTTGCACTCACCTGCACAGACTATGTCCTCCAGAGGCGTTGCACAGGTTCCTCCATCAGAACCCCTCTCAATACCAGATCTTGTGCGCACCGGAGGGTTCATGAACCAGCCCTACTTAGTTCACTTCCTGTCCTAGCAGGAACAGTGGCCTTTCCTGACTGGCCTTCAACCCATTCTGGTTCTTACTATTGAATGTTTCAGCCTAGCCAAGGCTTGTCCATACCCAGACACAACTTACACATGGCTCAGTAGGGGCAGAGACCTAGCCTAGTCCATTCTATATCTACCCTGGTCCTCCAGAGCACCATATGGTACTGGAGTCTTGCCCAGCCTGGTGCGTCCAGTCCCAGTCCACATTTGTGCCAAGGGAGACTGCAGCCGTGTCCAGACCAGAACACAGCCCCGACTTTAGCCCCCGGACTCACTAGTGGGAACCCCAACCCAGTCAGGCTCATCAAGCAAGGATGTCATGGTGGCTGTGGCCCCAAAGGCCATGACTGTGTTTGCACTGGCGATGGACATCTGCAGATGCTCTCCCAGGACCTCGTGGTGGTCACAGAATCTCCACTTGCTATTGGTCCTACCATGAGATCACCAAGTATAATCTCACTTCCCCTCCAGGAAAAGGTTCAAACTCAGCTCTAGATGATTCCAAGAAAAAATAGAAGTAGACACTCTCCAGTGTCCCACAACATGGAGAAAGCTTACTGTTGACCTTTCTTTGACTGAATGGAAAATGGGATGCCTTGGCAGCCATGTCGAGTCTCTTTCCTAGCTTCTTCCAAAGTCATCGGGTCCTTTGGACCCTCCATGGTCATGTCCTATTTCAGACCTTTATGGCATTTTCTGATTATGAGATCTGATCCAGTTTATTTTTATTGATTTATTTTTATAGTCACAGCACTCTGACTCTTTCACATTCTGTCTAATCTTTTCTTGGCCAGATGTTCATGTGCCGAAATAGCGATCTGACCTCTCATTTTTGCTGTGATCCAAAATGCCTGAACTTTGGTGGTGTGAGAGAGCCTGTCTGGATGGATGTGAAGTTTGAAATGTGCAGCAGGCTCAGGATGCTGTGCAGGGAACACCTCCAGCTAGGACCGAGGGGAGGCTGCTTTCAGCATGTCAGAAAAGATCACCTGGCCACTTCAGCAGGGTCTGTCTGAAAATGGATTTCCTGACACTGAAAAGGCTTGTCAACATCTTCTTCATTCACTTGCTGCTGTCTCTTGCTGAATCCTGAATTTCCTGTTGAAGCACTAGGCACACAGCCTGGGCAGTGACCCCCTTCCCACCTCTACTATCTAACCTGAGTCCACAGTGCAGGTATGCAGTGTGATCCAATGTAAATACATTTTCTTCTCAGAAACACACACACTCATATATAATGTTCAATAAGCTGATACTTATACCATTGCCATGTCTTTCTGGGTCAACCAACGTGACAGAGACGGCAGCAGCAGAGGATAACCTAACGCCAATGTGATTGGAATTCCTCAAACAGGGTCCTCAAGGGGCAGAGTGGGCTCAGTGCCACCAGTGATTTGGGCATCCCATGTTAATGCAGGCTCTAGTCTTAGCTGCTCCTCTTGGCATTCTGCTTTCTGTTTATGTTCTGGGAAAGTACCAGAGGATGGGGTAAGTACTCGGGTTCTTGCCACCATGTGGGACCTGGATAAAGTTCCTATTCCTGCTTCACCTAGCCCAGCCGCGGTAGACTCTGTGTTGTTTCTCCTCACTGCTCTGTGGATTTCTTGCTGTGCACTTACACTGCTTTTCTGACTCCTTTCCAGAATGGCCAGCTTGGGAACTTTCCAAATCTCCCTTGTCTGCTCCATTTTTCATTATGCATGTTGCCTTTTGGTGATGCCATTACTCCCAAACAGTAGTGCACAGGAATAAAAGAAACCAAACAGCAGCAGCTATTGGGTTTAGGCCAGCATTTACCCTGGAGCCCAGATCCTACCCATGTCTTCAATCCAGGAGCCAGGGAGTGTCTTCTGCTGCCCATGGAGTGCATTTGCAGGAAGTTGGGATTGGAAACAACGCTGGGACCCACACACCTGCCTTCAGATGCTTCCACGTCAAGAAAAAGTAGGAATAGTGCACTCATCCCCCAAAATGGAGTGACCTCAACTCTAATATTGACCTTTCCCTTGAGTGCACCAATAGATGGGATGCATGACCAGCTATGCAGAATTACTCTCCCAGCCTCTTTCAAACAGTGGAACTGTGGACACTCCACGGGCATGTCCAATTCAGACCTTCATGGCATTAATGATTTGAGATCTGACGAAGGTTTCCCAGATTCACAGGCACCCAGAGCCTTTCCTCTCTCTGCAGAGGCTTTGCATGTTCAGATGTTCCAGTGGTGAAAAATCCTTCTTTTCTCTCATTCGTGCTGTGATATCCATCAGTTCCCCAAACACAAAGTGATTGACATTGTCTGAGCCTCGGTGGTGGCTCACGGCCTGTCCCGATGGACATGGGCACGGGATGCTGAGCAGGAAACATCCCCAGCCCTGAATGGAAAGGTCCCCAGTGAGCACAGGGAGAGGGAAGGAATGGGAGAGAGTGACGGGACATCCACCAGGGGGCGCTGGTGGCTGCTGTGCTTTCTCAGCTGTTTCCCTTAGACCTAGCAGGTGTTGTCCCTGTGCACTTAAGGAGGAAAACAGCCTCACCCACAGAAGTGTTCAGTTAGGCTGAAGCCAAGAGGAAGCTAAAGGAAGGGACCTTTGTCAGCCCCCAAAGGGCAGAGATTTGCATGGAGCCCTCCCACCCTCAGAAGCAGGGGACACATAAGAAGGCTTGGTGTGCAGCAGGCTGGCTGCGGGTGTGAGGCAGCAGAGGCTTGTGTGTGTCCACCATGGCCTGGACCGTGCTCCTCCTCGCCCTTCTTGCTCACTGCACAGGTGGCTTCCTGCAGGAGTGTTCTGGCGGGAGGTGCTGCTGGCTGTCCATGAAGATGGGTCATGCCCATCCTCACTGATCTCTGACTTTTCTCTTGCAGGTTCCTGGGCCCAGGTTGTGCTTTCTCAGCCTCAGTCTGTGTCAGGGTCACTGGGGGAGACGGTCTCCATTTCCTGCACACGCAGCAGTGGTGATATAGCGGGTTACTATGTGTACTGGTACCAGCAGCTTCCAGGCAGGGCTCCCACACTACTGATCTATGGTGATGCTGAGAGACACTCAGGAGTTC